TAGGAACTATTAATTTAGCCTGATTCTGTACAATTTATAAGCAGAATCCTATAACATGTATTATTTCATGTCTGGTTTCTTTGACTCAACATAGTTTTGTTGCATGTGGTTCTATAGATTATTCATTCTCATTGCTGAATAGTAGTCCATCATATGAAGGTACCACAATTTACTTATTCCATTCCTCTGTCAGTGGGCATTGGGGTAGCTTTCTGGTTGGAGGTATTACAAGTAGTGCTGCCAGGAGCAGCCTAGTATGTATCTTTTGGTGAACGCCAGTAAGCATTTCTGCTGAGTATATCTGGGAGTGGGTGTGCTGGGTCACACAGTGTGCATATTTTGGTGAGCTGTGTTTATGTATATACAATCCTCACATCCCTCTGTGGGAGGCATCATCATCCCCTTTATACATGACAGCCTTCTGGGTCAGACCTACACTTTCTCCATGGGTCCTGAAAGATCAGACAGAAGGGAAGGCCGATAGCTGCAGTGCAGAAAGTGTAGGTTTCACCTATCTTTTCACTGTTGACAACCTTCTTTTTTTTTTTTTTTTCTCCTTAAGAGACACATTGTCTTGAAGACTTCTGCATACCAATCAAATGGCCTTTGCTTAGTCTCATTTAATTCCTCTCGTGATTCTCTTATTAGTCAAAGACACATCTAGCCAGCTGCAAAGCTGCTGGTCTGACAACCTACATAACAGCATTGACTAGTTCCAGATAAAACCAGAGAAAGTTCAGGTTCAGGTTCACCTCGGTCACCTCCTTACAAGAACACAGGATTTCTGTTGGGCTGCGGAAACACGGAGAAGATGCCACTCTTTCCCTTTGTGATGTTGCAGGGACTTTAGGTGACTGAAGACCCCACGCCTCCACTGAGGATCTCTTAGACCCAGACCAGGTCTGAAGCGCTCTGACTTATGGCCAATCAATATTTATCAATGCATAAGCCATTCACACACCATTTGGACCAGGCCCAGGCCATCATTTTTAAACAAAGATTCAAAGTCCCATCCATTTACTTTGGGCTGGCTCTTATGCTAAGATAGGTTCTATGAAGGTAGTGAGGAACATTTTCCAAGCTGCTGCCAAGTGCTCAGAAAGACTTCAGCCTTCTGCTAGTAGCCTGTACTTTGGGGTATAGTTTGTTCTTTCCCATTTGTCTCTCTGTTTCTGTCTCTCCATTTCTGTCTTTCTCTCTGTCTCTGTCTTTCTCTGTGTGGGTATGTTTTATATAGTTAGTATATATAATGTATATTTACATATATATATGAGAGATCCATCTATCCATCTATCACCTATCAAAAAACTTAGGTCCCATTATATCTTACTTTTTATTAGCATATTTTTCCATGTGATACAAGTAGGTTCAAAAATGTAACTTTTAAAGTTATTGTCTGATATTCTATCACGTGCAGTTACCATGATTAATTTAACTAATTCTCTATTTTGGGTCATTTAGCCTGTTTCCAGTATTTTGCCATTGCAAACAATACTGCATGACTATCCTTCTACCTAAATCCTTAGGGACATTTCTGATATTTTCCTTCGGCGCCGTGATAAGATGCGGAATAACCCACAAAGCACACGGATGTTGGCTTTCGAGTCTCGTTATCAAATACAAATGTCTGCTGCTGTCAACGGCAGAGAAGAGTGTCTTTTTTACCCACACCAGTAATTTTCTGTACAAATATTTTTTCTCAATTTTATAGGTAAAGCATGATCATTTGGTTTTCATTGCAGGTAATGGATTCCTGGTGAGCTTAAATATTTTTTCAGGTTTGCTGTCCATTTGCGTTTCTCCTTGCTTTGCATTTTGCATTCGTTTTTCTCATGTCATGTGTCTCCACTCCCCCACAGAATGACATCCTGTGCTCAGCAGGTCTCTTCCCCCTCATTCCAGACATCAGGGTAGGAGTATTACGGAGGTCCCACAGAAGAACTTGGCGACTGTCACCTGCCTTGCAAATCGAACATATGTTAGAAAGATGCACGCTCACAAGACCCACAGCCGGCTTGGTCAGCCACATCTGTCATTCCTCCCACCAGGAAAGCCGAATTCCTCCCAGAGCTGTAAACCTCACATCTCACTGAATCTCTGGACACCATCACCCAGGGGCTGCGATCAGGAGGGCCCGCTGGTAACGACTTAACCAGCTGAGGTTCCAGTGCACTTCAGGGGTTTACAGGACTGTGCCTTGAAGGAAGTGTTCCCTGCTGCTTTGGGAAAACGGGCAATTGTAAATCAGGTAACAATGAGGCCCTGACTTATTTATCCTTCTACAGGTTTTACATACTAGGGCCAGCAAGGGACACATTTGCCCAGCTCATGGCTGATTTGCAGAGTCAGCACTTTAGGTAAGACCAGCCCGCCTTGCTCAGCGGGACGGCATGTGCTGGGGGCTTCGAGGAACCAACGCACCCTGTGGTGCTGAGGCCTTATCTTGTCTCTTGGTCTGGACCAAATGCCATCTTTCAGAGACATGAGATACAGAATGGGAAGTCACCAAACAGTGGGAAATTCTTCCTCTGGTGCTAAAAGTGCTTTTTCCCCTCTCTCCCTGGCCTCCTCCACGTTCCTCCTCCTTTAGAGGGAACATTTGCCTGGAGAACAGCTGCACCCTTGTGATCCCAGAAATGATAGGGAACCATTAAAACAGGAACAGCGGCGATAAATGAAGCTTTCAGGCCTTTGGCTTGTACTAATTAGCAATCAAGGCCAAAGCTGAACCCAATGTCCCATAATAAATTATGACACATCCTTACAAGAGAATATTAGGCAGCTATTAAAAATAATGTTTTCAAAGAATTTTTATGGCACTGAAAACTGCTTATGATATGAAGTGAAATGAAGGAAAGATGTAAAGCCCACATATAGAACACGGAATACCAATGACCTGAAAGACTACCTGAAAATACTGTAAAACGGGAACTGCGATTATCTCTGCAGGAAAAATTATGTGTGCATTTTATGTTTCTCTCTTATTATATTTTAAACATTTCCTATATTAGGCATTCGTGGCTTTTGTTTATTAAAAATAAAATAAAATAAATAAATAAAATTTTTTTTTTCTTTTGAGACAGAGTCTCTTTCTGTCGTCCAGGTTGGAGTGCAGTGGTATGATCTTGGCTCACTGCAACCTCCGCCTCCTGGGTTCAAGCAATTCTCCTGCCTCAGCCTCCAGAGCAGCTGAGATTACAGGTGTGTGCCACCACATCCAGCTATTTTTTTTTTTTTGTATTTTTAGTAGAGACAGGGTTTCACCGTGTAAGCCAGGATGGTCTTGATCCCCTGACCTTGTGATCCGCCCACCTCTCCCTCCAAAGTGCTGGGATTATAGATGTGAGCCACTGCACCTGGCCAAAAATCATTATTATTTTTAAATACTAAGTCTGATGTGAGCTTCCCCAGGCCTTTGACGATTTTCTGTGTTCATTTCTCCCTCCCTCCCTCCCTCCCTTCCTCCCTTTCTCCTTCCTTCCCTCACTTTCTTTCTTCCTTCTCTTTCATTTTCCTTTCTTTCTTCCTCCCTCCCTCCCTTTTTCTCTTTCATTTTTTCTCTCATTCTTCCTCCCTCTCTCCCTGCCTTCCTTCTTTCCTTCCAGAAAACCAGCAATATTGACCAAAAACAAATTTTCAACAAGCTCAAGAAGTTGATGGTACTGATGCTGAATGAGGGAGGGGGCTTGGCTACTTTGGAAAAAGCTTGGGGACCCAAACATTGCTCTACACTGTCCTGCACAATGCTTCTAGGGGGCTAGTTTCAATTCTGGGTGCCAGGTTAAAAAGTATATAGAAAAGACCACCTTTTGCAGAATACAAAAATGACAAAAATATCTTCACCAATAAAAGCCGCAGCAGCAGCTCCACTATGTACTGAATGCTTATCGTGTGCCAGATACTGGATGGAAACATGACCTGTTGTCTGATGTGAGCTTTAAAACAACTCTTTTACGGCTGAGAAATCTGAGTTTACCAACATTAAGTAATGAGGTGGATCTATTTGAATCTGTATAAATTTGCCCAGGAAACGGAGGAAGGGAAGCTTTCCCAGGGAAGATCCTGCCTCATCTGCAGATGGGACGGCTTGGACTGTGGCCTTGGCTGCCGGAACTGGAGAAGCTGGCTGGGAGGGCTGCATTACCACGGGAACTTTGGATGGATTTTCCTGGACAAGAGTGACAATTCAACTCACTTTAGAATTATAGAGGTTTATATTGAAAGGTGTTGGTGACACAACAGACTTAGCTCATGGGAGGCAGAAGGCTGAATGCTCTGGAATCAGGAAGAGTGGGCTCCCAGACAGCCTCAGTGGAATCCACCTTGCAGTCACCCTTGACTGCTTTTTGCCTGACTGGAAGATTCTGTGGCTTGAGATGCCAAGCTTTGTTCAGGCCCATGGCCCCTGTGGGTGACTCTATAGATCATGGGGAAATTGGGTCCATTTTTATCGTTTGCCAGGAATGTGACAGCAGTCGACTGGGCTCCACCTGGGCAGTCCTCCAGTTGGTGGTGGGGGGGGTCCCAGCCAAGGACAGGGGGATGCTTAGATCAGACTCTTCCGCTGGTTAGATGGACTGTTCTTTTTGTTTTGTTTTTGTTTTTTGTTTTGTTTTTGTTTTTGTTTTGAGATGGAGTCTCTGTTGCCCAGGCTGGAGTGCAGTGGTGCAATCTCGGCTCATTGCAACCTCTACCTCCTGGGTTCAAGTGATTCTCTTGCCTCAGCCTTCCAAGTAGCTGGGATTACAGGCACCTGCCACCACGCCTGGCTAATTTTTGTATTTTTAGTAGAGATGAGGTTTCACCATGTTGGCCAGGCTGGTCTTGAATTTCTGATCTCAAAGTGATTTGCCTGCCTCAACTTCCTAAAGTGCTGGGATTACAGGCACGAGTCACCATGCCTGGCCTTTAAATGGACTGCTTCTTAGCTGATGTAAGAATTATGAGTACACCAGACAAGTCTATCCCACCAACTAACACAGAGAAAAAACACGAGCAAGTAATCTGTATGAAATATTAGTTTTAATAACACAGAACCAGTCCACGTACGGAGGCACGGGCATAAGGTTAACTTGCACTAAACGTAACTCGTACATTTTTTCTAAAATAATAGCTTGAGCATTGAGGATTTGGTGGCCTTAAGTACTAACCCGAAGCTGAGTTTCCTGGGAAGCTGACCCAATGGAGCGCTTGGAATTGAGGGGTGAAGTCTTCTTCCTGGGTCAGAGCTGATTCGGGGTCACTTGCTCTTGAGGTCCCTAAAGGCCGCATGCGCTGCATTTCGCCCAGCAGCTCCCATCACACCTCCTCCTGGAAGGGAATCTCCTATGAACCAAAGCTCCGCTCAAAAACCTGCCAGGGTGGGGGAGGGGGCGGGGCTTACGGAGATGCAGCAACAAAGCAGAGTGGGGCTGCTTAGAGGGGTGCGGGAGTGTGGGCACTGGAATCACCTAGGACAGACATTCAATAGATCCTGGCTCCCTCCAGGCTTCCTGCACCAAAGGTCTGGGAAGGGGCCAGGTCCACAGCCCACAGCCTCAATGGCTGAGGGTGGACCTGCTGGATGGGCAGATGCTTAGTAAGCAAAGTTAAAATTTCAGAATAAGGGGCTGGGGGGAGGGGGGAGATGTGGAAACACAGACTCTTTCCAGGGGGACCAAGTCCACACAGCTCAGAGAAGGTGTGCATAGCAAATGACAGCCTCAGCCAGCTTCTTAGGCTTGGAATGCGCACAAGAAAGAATTGTAAAGTTGAAGAAGTTAACTTTATCCATCCTTTCTGGTCTAAAATATGGATGGAGGCCTCTAATCCCAGCACTTTGGGAAGCTAAGTGGGGAGGATCACTTCAGCTCGGGAGTTCGAGACCAGCCTGGGCAACGTAACAAAACCCATCTTTACAAAAGAATAAAAAATTAGCCAGGCATGGTGGCACACGCCTGTAGTCCCAGCTATGCCAGAGGCCGAGGCAGGAGGATCACTTGAGCCCAGGAGGTTGAGGGTGCAGTGAGCTGTGATCATACCACTGCACTCCAGCCTGGGCAATAGAGTGAAACACCGTCTAAATATATACATGGATGGGGAATTTAGGGACATGGGTCTCTCACAAGCCCGCATTGGAATGTGGTTAGATGCCTCCACCAGGACGCATCCCCAGGCCTCCTGAAGGGGAGGTGTGAGTTCAACTGTGGGCTGTGCTCAGCCTGGTGGAGGCAGCGGCTGGGTGCTCACCTGTGCATGGAGAATTCTGAACACAAGGCAGCTTCTTATGGTGGGAGTTCCCTGCTCCCCTCCCTCTCTGCCGCCTTCATTGTTTATCTTCTTCCTCGTTCTCCAAGTCTCTGGCCTCCAGTGAGCCCTCCCAGTCCCCACAGGGTAGTGGGACTCCAGGTCACTCACCAGGATGAGCCCCACTTCCACAGAGATACAGGCCCTGGAGAGGGCAGCGGTAGCCAGAATGCAGGGGCACAGGGCGGGCAAAGTAGAGCTGATCCAGGGACATGGCACAGTGGAATATGTTCTGCAGAAGCAGGGCCACAGTCATTAGCACGGGAGCGTTACAGCCTTTCCTGTCCTGGCAGGGTTTCTTCCCCTCCCCTGTTCTCCAGCAAAAGTTCTTCTCCTTCCGGGATATTTTCTTGGGTTCTTAAAATGCAGAAAGGGAAGGAGATGAGATGGAACGGGCACATGCCCTGGGGCTGGGAGTGAAGTTTCCCAGAGGCCTTTTGAGGAAGAAAGCAGGGTGGGGAACAGGAACTGAACAGGAAAGAAAAGAGGGTTTTGCTATCTACTCTGCATCCCTCTCGCTCTGCTGGAAAAACAGAATCGTCCGACTTATTGTGGCTGCTGGCATGTGTCTGCGAGAACTTCCTTCTGTGGCCAAGGCATCCACCTGAGCCCAGACCCCGGCGTCCAGGTTCCAGCAGGATCACTGTGAATGGCAGACAAGGGGCAACGGAGCCGAGCACGGTTCTGTCCCCCTGGCTTGGGTGAGACCAGCCCCAGGCTGAGAAGGGAGGCAGCATGGGACAAGCGAAGGTCAGACTCAGGGGGCAGGTCTGGACAAGAAGCCCGATGTCTGCTGGGCGTCACCACAGGAGTGTGCCCCTGCTGCCCTCCTCACCTTGCCCCAAACTGAGGCCATCCTCTTTCCTCAAGTCTGCTCCTCCCCATCCTCCTGCGTCAGTGAATGACACCACCTTCCTCCCGCTGGCCTCTGCACCTACCCTTCACATCGCCTCCACCCTGACCCCCATGTGCACACTGTCACCAAGGCTTCTCAAGTCTGCCCGCCCCATGCCTGCTCTACCCAGCCATTCCCTTCCTTCCTGCTGCCTGGCCTTCTTTCCTCTACCCGGACCAGTGCTGTTCAGTGAACATGTAATGGGAGCTAATATGCAGTTTTTGATTTATTAGTAACTACATTTAAAAAGTAAAAGCAGAGCCTGTTGTGGCTCATGCCTGTAATCCCAGCACTTTGGGAGGCCAAGGTGGGAGGATCACTTGAGCCCCAGAGTTTGAGACCAGCCTAGGCAACACAGGGAGACTCCATCTCTACAATTTAAAAAAATTAGCCTGGTATGGTGGTGCATGCCTATGGTCCTATCTACTCAGGAGGCTGAGGTGGGAGGATGGATGGCTTGAGCCCCAGAGGTCGAGGCTGCAGTGAGCTGTGATTGCACTACTGTACTCCAGCCTGGGTGATAGAACAAGACCCTATCTCTAGAAGGAAGAAAGGGAGGAAGAGAAGGAGGGAGGGAAGGAGGGAAGGAGGGAAGGAGGAAGGGAAGGAGGGAGGGAGGAAGTAAAGAAGGGAGGAAGGAAGGAAGGAAGGAAGGAAGGACAAGTTGATGAATTTAATGTCAATAACATATTTTATTTAGCTATATATATCTATATATATTTATTAGCTATATACATATAATATACCCAAAATATTATAATTTCAACATGTAATCAATATATAAATTATTGATGAGATATTTTATATTTTTTTCTATACTGTGTGCATTCTACACTTGTAGCACATCTCACTTTGGCCTCAGATTTTTCTTTTGCTTTTTTTTTTTAAATTTTCTTTTTAGAGATAGGGTCTCATTCTGTTACCCAGGCTGAAGTGTAATGGCACATCACAGCTCACTGTAGTCTCGAACTCCCGGGCTCAAGCGATCCTCCTGCTTCAGCTTCCTGGGTAGCTGGGACCACAGGTACACACCACCACCCCTGGCGATGTTTCTGGTTTTTTTGTTTTTGTAGAGATGGGGTCTCACTATGTTCCCTAGGCTGGTCTCTGGCCTTGCAAGTGCTCAGTAGCTGCAATGAGGCGATTGAGCCTGGCCTCCTAACTGGTCTCCCTGTCTCCAATGTCTAGTTTTTGATAAACTGAAGTCTGAGGATGTGCTGCTGCCTTGAGAAGGGGGTGCTCTCTCTGAAGAAAGTCAGATGGCAGAGCCCGCATGGTTGTCAAGGCAGAGGGCCACAATCCTGGTGACCTTCTCAGTGGGGGCTGCCCTGCCTGTGTTTCTGAGTCCCTACTAGGGATCCCTATTCCCTCAATTTGACCACTTCTCTGCCCTCTCTCAGCCAGGGTCCCTGCCCCTGTCCTCCCTTCCTGATGAAAGCTGAGTATGGAGGGACAAGATAAAGCAGAGAGGTCACAGCCAGGAAGTGAGGGTGCAGAGGGAAGGCTATGGTGAGAGACCCCCTAGGTTTATACGCACTCCTCCAGGAAGCCCGAAGATTCTCTCCAAATCTGGTGGTGTGAGGATGTCTCTGCCGACCACAGAGTCCTTGAAGCCAGGGGCATAGACCTCGATGCAATCAAACACTGGGGGGCCAGAAACAAAGAAATGAGACTGTGTTAGGAAGAAGAGGAGGCGCTAAGGGGATACAACTTGGCAAATTTACTAAGAGTCATTAAATTACACACAGACATGGGTTTATTTTATCATATGCAAATTATACCTCAATAGGTGAAAAACAAAAATCAGCCCACAAGCAAATGAATAATTCATCCCAAAGATGCATGGGCAGGCCGGTCCAGTCCCCAATTTTCCCCACTTCCCTACCCCAACCCTAAACACAAAGCTGCTTGTCTCCTCTTGCATATGCAGCTTTTTTCACCTCATCCCTTTCCTCAAGCTCGCTCCTTCCTTCCTTCCTTCCTTCCTTCCTTCCTTCCTTCCTTCCTTCCTTCCTTCCTTCCTTCCTTTCTGTCTCTCTCTCTCTCTCTCTCTCTCTCTTTCAGACGGAGTCTCACTCTGTCACCTAGGCTGGAGTGCAGTGGTGCGATCTCGGCTCACTGCAACCTCCACCTCCGGGTTCAAACGATTCTCCTGCCTCAGCCTCCGGGGCAGCTGAGATTACAGGCATGTGCCACCACCCCCGGCTAGTTTTTTTGGTGTTTTTCGTAGTGACGGAGTTTCACCATGTTGGTCAGGCCTGTCTCGAACTCTTGACCTCAGGTGATCCACCTGCCTCGGCCTCCTGAAGTGCTGGAATTACAGGCATGAGCCCCCACGCCCGGCCTGCTCAAGCTGTTTCTCTTGCTTGGAATGCCCTTTGCTGTCTGGCCAGTTCCTAGTCATCCTTGGAAACCCAGCTTGACCGTCCCTTCCTTTGAAAGCCTTCCTTGTCCCTCTGGCTCATGCTTCTCCTTTGGTTCATGCAGTCAGCTGTGCTGTAATGACAGATTTCTTAATTTGTCTCCTCCATCCCTTGCTAGGCTGCGAGCAACTGGAGGGCAGGAACTGTGTTTTCTTGGCTTTCTTAGCCCAGGTCCTGACTCCAGCAGTCATTCACTATGCTGACTTGAGGTTCCCTCAACTATTTCCTCCCTTTGGGACGTCATCTGCAGCTGTCAATCCTGAATGGGGCAGTGAGGAGGAGCAGGCCCAGTCAGGTCGCAAGCCCGGCTTTGGCTCTGGAGGCAGAACATGCAGCTCTCTTTACCTCTGTCTGCGTAAGCGTCTCTCTCCTGCTCGTCCCAGGCCTTGCCTCCAGCCAGTGTGTAGGGCGTGTACTGAGTGAAGAGAGAGACTACGTGGCAGCCGGAGGGAGCCAGGGTGGGGTCCAGCGCAGAAGGGATGCAGAGCTCAATCATAGGCCTGTGCGGGCAGGGAGGAGAGACGGCAGGTCTAAGAGCAGCAGTGTGGTGCGAAGGGCCTCTGAGATGACTTGGGACACAGTGGAGACCCTGAGATGACACCAATCCTGGGCGACTGTCGCTGTACAGCCACAGTGGTTGTCCACAGTACAGGTCCACAGTGGCCTCCAGTGTGATCCAGAGCACCCGTGAGGAGCTGGCCTGGCCCAGACCCCCGAATGCATGGCCTGTCCTTGCCGGCCTTCATCACACGCTGTGCTCTAACCACAGCTCCCAAACGCAAATGTCTCCAAGGTCCACACAGACAGTGGGAGTGTGGAAAGAGGCCAGGCCTAAGACAGCAGGCGCCCAGGCAGCCAGATTTCAGCCAGGCTTTAGCGGCCTGACTGCCTTTTCCAGAGCAGACCAATGGAAGACAGAGTTGCTAGGGCTGCCCCGAGCCCCAGCAAAGCTGTGAACTGCTTCCCACCCCACCACCTTTGCCTGCCACACCTTTTCTACCTGGAGCACATTCTCCCTCTGATCTCCAAATATGAGTCTCCTTCAAGGCCACGGGAAACGCCCCTTCTCCCTGCGTCCCTCAGCCGCAATGTTTTTGCTGAACTTGGATGTCCACCAGGGATCTCAAACGTCCCCCGTTCAAACCCCAATGCCTGATTAGCCTCTAAAACCTGCTCCACCCCCGCCGCCTCTTCCTCTCTTCAGTAAATGGAGGCATCTTTTCACAGTCGCTCCTTTTTATTACCCACATCCCACTCCCTGTCCAACAGCAAGTCCTGTTGGCTTCACCTTCAAAATATACCCAGTCTTCCGTCCCTTCTCATCACTGCCACTGCCCCACCCTTATCCAAGCCACTGTCCACTCTAACTTGGATTCTGCAACAGTAACCCATTGCAACAGATGCCTTAACGTTTTCTCCACACCGTGTCCAGGTTGGTCTTTCTAAAGTATAAGGCAGGCCCTGCACAAACTTTCCTGGAGTAAGAGCCAGGGCAGTTGACAAGACCCAGCATGATCTGACACCCTTCACTCCCAGGTGCTCTCTCTCCAGCCACTCTGGCCTCGTCCCTGTGCCTCCTACACAGCAGCACGCTCCTGCCCCAGGGCCTTTGCACCTGACCTTCCCTCTGTCTGGACGTTCTTTCCCAGGTACCCACAAGATCTGTATCCTCACTTCCTTCTGGTCTCTGCTCAAGTGCCGCGTTGTCAGAGAAGCCTTTCCTCCCCTTCCCTGCCTATTTTTCTCCGCAGTGCTCATCATCAGTGCTTACTTGTTGATTGTCTTCCTCTCATGGATAGAAAGTCAGCGACCTGGGACCTTGTTGGCTTTGCTTGCTGATCTGTGCCCAGTCACTGAACCAAGCCTGGCACAGAGTAGAGACCCCAGAATATTTATAAATGGATGAATGAACTTTGCCCTATACCCTTCTCTCCAGGCGCACATCTTCTTTACCACATGCTGTAAATATTTGTGTACCTGTCTTATCATAAGCTTCGTGTCGGTTTCATGCCCCTGCCTCACTAGTTCTCCCAGCCCGTACCTAGTACAGAGCCCGGCACTGAGTAGGTTTTCAACAGTGTGTGCTGGACTGTGGACAGGAAGGAAAGGCTCTTTCTCCTATAGCGCCCCTGCCTTTTCTGGAAGGATGGAAATACAGCTGCAGTGGGAGGTGGGAAATGCTTTTAGAAGTTTTGCAAGAAGGCAGCTTATCAGAAAAAGAAAGGCTACGGAGCAGGGGACTCAGTGAGTGCGTGCCCCCTGACAGGCTCTGAATGAGAGAACCTCCTTTGCTTTCCCAGAACACATTTTCTCTTCTTCCCCAGCCCCAGCACTTTCCTGGGCAGCGCTCTGCCCCCTGCCCCTTCCGCTAACCTGAGCTGCTCTTCACCCTTACCTGCCCTGGTCCTCAGATTTTTCACCTGGGATGCACTTCCTGTCCTTAGAAGTAAAGTATGGATTTTGGCAGATCCTAAGTCACTGTGAAGGTTGAACGCCAGGCCTGATCCCTGCTGTGTGTGGCGTGGACAGCCCTGCCTCCCAGGCCCATGTGGAAGAACATCAGGGGATGTTCTGTCCAGGACCCCTACCTGTGGGAAGGCAGGCCATCCATGGCGTCTTCAAAGGCCTGATGAAGAAGGAGGGTGTCTTCACAGTTCAGGTGGATGGAGCACTGGTGATGGGGCAGTGGGTGGCCCCTGGGAGCATTGGGGGCCGCCAGGAAGCTGGGCAGCCTGTCTACAGCCACTGAGGGACCAAAGAGGAGGGTCAGGTCTTAGCCCCCCAAGGTCCTCCCTCTACAGCCACCTCAGTGGCAGACGGGAGTAGGAAAGTATTAGCAAGTGTTTCACCTTCTGACCAGGCTGCAGGGGGACACAGGCTGGAGGTCAGGGAATGGAGGTGATGACAGAGTTCAGCTGCCCCCCGCATGGAGGTTTCTCACTCGGATGGGTCAAAGGAGACAGTGCTGCAATGTGGTGTGCCTCTTACCATTGATCTTGGTGACAGGTGACCGGGTGTCCAGCTGAGAGATTTTCTCCAGGAACTCCTCAGGAAGCCACTCCTGGAAGGAGAAGCCTCCATGAAAGCCCCCAGACATCAAAAGGCCCCAAGGAAGCTGCCTTCTTTCTTTGCTCAGGAAGATCCCTCAGTCGCTCCCTCCGGAAATCCTCTTCATCCTTCAAAGCTCAGCCAAAACCACCTCCTCTGTGAAGCCTTCCTAGATCCCCTCCCACTCAGCTCTAACCACTTCCTCCTCTGTGCTTGGCCAGCAGTTCTGACTGTGAAATAGTCCACACCTCTCCCTGCTTGCAAAGGGGACAGTGGTTTGCAGGTCTCTTTTCACTACTGGTGTGTAAGCTCTTGGAAGCCTCGATGATCTCAGAATTGCCTTAACAAGTTTCTTTTTACTGATGTTTGTTGAATTTTATTAATGGAATCACTCAGAAAAAGCAGTGCTTTGCCCCTAAGAATTGCTCCCAAGAGTGGTTGGGAGCTTCGTGCACATATACATGTTATCGTATCTTTTGGGCACAGGGAAAGTCAATTGCAAAAACTGCCCCCCAAAGCTCACCCCTCCCTGTTTGCACACCCGTTTCTGTGTAATCTTGCAGTGCCCTCACACTCTGACTCTGGGCTTGGCCATGAGACTTGCTTTGGCCAATGCTAGCAAACAGGATGCAAAGAGATCAAACCACGTGATGCTTGCATACATGCTTGAGCTTGCCTGCTTTTGCCCCTTGCCAGACCCTGAGAACATGCCTGGACTACTGTGCTGGGGGAGGACAGACACACGGGGCAGAGCTGAGTTCCCCTGGTCATCCCAGCAGAAACAGTCCTGGACCAGCCACCACCGGCTAGCTCCCAGGAACATGAAGGAGTCCTGCCAAGATCAGCAGAGCCGGCAAGCTGACCTGCAGCTGACTGCAGATGCATGAGCCAGCCGTGAGCAGTTGGAATCCACCAAGATCAACTGAAGTCTCCAGTTCTGGGTGCCAGTATTTCTTGTGTGCCCAGAAGTTTTGTGGCTCTTTTTAAAAATTAATTAATAATCATGGATAATACAACAGATAGTTGACACATACAATGGAATTAGAGCTGGTGAAAGGGAAGAAATCAGGAAAGTAGGAAAGTTGTGGAAATAACTCTAGATGGAAAGTCAGACCTGGGTTCTAGCTCTGGCTCTGCCAGTGGCCAGAATCTTGGTCACTTCACCTCTCTGGCCCCTTCTCCTCACCTGTGAGGCTTCTTCCCTGTTTGCTACCTGCCCTTACCTGCCTGTTTCCCAAATGCAGAGACTTGGCTTTTGCATCTCACACCCTGATGCAATCCTGGCTCCCTCAATCCCCACGGATTCCAACCCCTGTTTTGGCAGACGTCTAAGCTCCACCCTCCTGCCCGCAGCCTCACCTGTGGCGTCAGCTTCAGGAAGGTGATCTGCGGTGATGTGTTGGACAGCACCACCTTGCTTCTCACTTCTGTGCCATCTTCCAGCACAACTCCTTGAACACAGCCTTCACTGTTCACCTGCACCTTCGCCACTGTCTAGCGCCCACCAGAAACCCCCAGGAAGGGAAACCCAGGTTAGATCTTGTGGGATTCCCATGGTCTGTGATGGTCCTAGGCATTCACAACTTCTTCATCCCAAACCCACCCCATCAAGTTCTGCAGCTTCTCCATGAAACACTCAGCCTCGGTTCAGTGACCAGGGAATTCAAAGCGGGTGGTTAGCCACTAACAGGCTGCGTGACCTTAGTCTCTTAATTCTGCAACCCACCCCCTCACAGCCCCTCTGTTCATTGGTAAAACAAGGGACCTTCCAAATCTGAGACTTGGTTCTGTCCTGGGATCCTTGTCAATTATTGGGGTGGAGTAGAGGGGCCATTCACCTTTTCAGTGAAGATGCTTGCTCCATGGGTGGTGGCTGAGCTTGCGATGGCATCAGAGAGGGCACCCATGCCCCCCTGGACATAGCCCCAGGCCCCCTGCATCCCCTCCAGGCCCCCCATCACATGATGCAGCAGCACATACCTGAGGACAGACCATCTGACTCAGATCCTGGAGGTGGGATCTCATCTGCCCAGAGTTGTAGGTGCAACTATTCCTTTCCATCTTGATCTTCAGCCCCTCCCTGCCACCATCCAGCCCTTTCCCAGTCACCTTTAATGAGCCAAGTTCTTGTAAGAGCCCTTTGCCTTCTCTACACTGACTCCCCAGCAAGTGTGTCTATGTGCATAGCTTTATTACCAAAAAGAAGGCAACGATGCCCAAACCTGCAGCTCCAGCACTCTCCTGAACTCCAGCTCCTATGTCTAACTACCCACAGATATCTCCATTTGGACGCTTTCTTGGTAGGCATCTTAAACCCACCACCTTTTCCCCATTCTCCAGCTGCTTCCCCTTCAATCTTTCCCATTCCAGTGAACGACACCTTTCCATAGAAGGTTCTGTTTCCAACAGAAACCAGGTGTCAGTCTTGACCGCTACCATCCTTCCCCATCTACGTCCACACAGCAACGCCAACTCAGCCTCCAAAGCGCTTGCAAGGCCACCCCACCTCTCAGCCTCTCTTCTTTTTCTTATGCTGCTGCAGTAGTGCCCCTCATTGGACCCCCTCTCCCACACTTTCTCCCCTGCAGGTCTTTGTCCACATATATCCTGGAGCCTTATCTTAAAGCCCAGCTGTGCTCCTGCCACTCACTTATCACCATTCCAAATCTCCCTGGCTTGGCGCTGCTCTTAGGGAATGGCCAGTCTCCTAGCAGGCGCTCCAGCCTCACCCCTCATCCTGTCCCTCTCTGTACCCCATCCTCCTAACTAACAGAACCTCTAGATTCCTGGGTGGATCATACATTCTCTAACCCCAGCATTTCCCCTGCTGTTCTGTCAGCCTGAAGTCCCTTCTTCCCTCTTCGTGTGTTTCGCTAACTCCTCTTTGTCCTTTGGGTCTCAGATCGAACACCTCTTCCATGTGGAGGCTTCTCTGACCCTAGGCCAGGCTGTGTCCTGGCTGCTCCTCCTAGCGTCACACTCACACCACTTCATCATCATCACTCGCTCTGTGTCTCTCACCCATCGGGACGTCTGCTCCACTCACTACCGTATCCCCAACACCTAGCGAGCGCTCATCCATATTTGTTGGAAGAATTAATGAAGGAACAAATTACTTAAAGGCATATTTCACAAACTGAGCACTGGCTAAGCCTCCCAGAGATCCCAAGAGAAAAGGGCAGGAGGCCCCAGCTGGAAGATCCAGATTGGCTGGTAGATCACAGCTTGGCCAACGTGTAGCAACTGCTGCCAAGCCCCCGTCTCTATGGTCCTGGGGGAATTTGGGGCCGGCTTAATATGTGTTGAAAAACCACTTCCGAGGGTGTGCTCATCCCTTGAGAGAAAAGCCACGTCGACAGCTTCTAGCTTCTAGCTGTATCTTCTGGTGCACTGGAAACGGCCCAACCCTTGGCGGCATTCTCCATCCCAACACACACACACACACACACACACACACACCCCTCCATTCCTGCTTCTGTGGGGGCTCATTAAGTCAGACCACACTGCCGGCTTCGCTGTGTCTGACTGCCACCTCTCGGACTGGGCTGTCAGCGCACACCCGCACTCAGCAAGAGAAAGGCAGCTCACTGCCCATCCTGAGGTGCCTGCGTGAGTGTCCCGGAGCCCAGGGAAAGGACCGGTGGCAGGCAAGGGAGAATGGGTGTTTGCAGGAGTGGAGAGGTGGAAGAGGGAAGGGAAGAGGAGAGAAAAGAAGATATTGCTGAGATACCAAGCGGGAGGTGGGAGAGAGGCTTTTCTTAGTGAAGCAGTAGGGCACGGTCACTAAGAAGGAAGATTTTGGGGAGTCAGACACCTCGAGCTGAAAATCAGCCTGGCCACTTGAGTGGCTTTGGGCAAGACACTCCCTTCTCTGAACCGCGGTTCTCAGACGTTGCTCTGAGGGTTAAATGGACCGTGTGTGACGTGCCTGGCTCGGTTCCTGGCTCACTGGGTGAGCTCTGTTAAGTGGCAGCTGTTGCTGCGGCCACTGCCACTGTTGTCCTCACTCCTGTTGGGGAACATGCCCCATTCCTGCATCCCGCCTCACCCCCTCACTCACCCACTCCCCGGAGTGCGGGGACTTGTCATGGCTCCAATCACAGCATCTGTGGCCAGAGTGGCTTTTAGAGGCTCAGACTCAAACCACTGATCCAGCACCTGGACAGCACAACAGCAGAGAGAAGGGCTTAGGGGCCTCGACGGGAGGAGGGTCCCCTTGCTCCCTGGTTGGGCCTGATGCTGGGGAACCGCTCACCTTGGTAATGGGAGCTGTGAGGACCTCATAATATTGGGGAAGCTGGGCTCCCAGGATGCGGCCTATAACAGAAGATCCACAAAACAGAAGTTGAGACAGGTGACAGGGAAACCCTCCGACCTGGCCTGTGGGATAAAAGACTGGAGGAGGCCGAGACTTCCTGCCGGGAGATGGTATAGCACAGCCAATGCAGAGACAGACCCAGCCTGAGTCCTGGCCACACCTCTCACTAGCAGCGCCTGGGACACATTTTTAACATCTCTGAACCTGCTTCTTTACCTGTAACACAGGAATCCTATTTTACACCCCAAGGGCTACAGTGAGCATTAAATGAGCTAGGTAAAGCATTTGCAAGTTCATAGGCATTTAATATGTTTAATCAGTTAGCATTATGTTTTGAAAATTTTAAACTTCTACCTTATTCCCTTATTTTGAACTCCGGAAGGCCCATATCCTGGGAGGTAGCTGGCCTGGCTGATCCATTCCTACAACCCTGATTCAGACCATTTCAGAGTAACTAGGCTTTAAGACCTTCAGGATAGAAATCACAGTCTCTAGCCTTATAGCACCCAGGCCTAGCTTAGTGTCTGGCACGTAGTAGTTGCTCAATAAAGGATTTTTGCCTGTTTTTCACACAAAGCTCCCTGGACTGGTTATCTGAGAGGCAGTGTCTCCTTTTTGCATTTGTAATAGATTCCACTGGCTCCATACTCTTTGCAATGTATAAGTCTGCAGTGTCTCCCAACCCACCATAGCTTGGTTAACCTGCCTGGCTCCTTGGCTCTGGGCTCATCCATGTGACCTGGCCAGCCAGTGGAATGTTTGCAGATGTGACACAAAGCCAGACCTGAAACAGGCCTGTACATTGGGGCATGCCCTCTGTGCTTGTGCCACTGATGTGAAAAGTCCACGCCCAGATCAGCATGTGCTTCTACAAGGAGGACGGGAGGTACCTGGAGCAGAGCTGCCTCCACTGAGCTGCTGCAGACACAAACAAATGCCTGAGACCGGACCAGATCAGCTGAGCCAGCTGGGATCAGCTGAACCACGAAGACATGTGGGAAACAAGCGATTTGTTTGTTTGTTTGTTTTTTCTAGGATATAGAGGCTAAACTGGTCTGTATATCCTCAAGGAGGGTAGAAAATAATAGCATACTTGATGTGCCTTCCATTCTCATACTCATGACAGACATTACTAACTGATCACAGAACTTCTCCTTGCTGAGCCCAAATCTCGCATTCTTCCTGTATGGGAGCAGCACTTCAAATCTCTTGGGCCCCATATCTTATTCTAGCCACGGCCATGATGCCGAACTCCTTGCAGGCTTTGATCAGCTTCACAAAGGCACCTGAACAGCATCTCACTTCAGTGCTGAAAAGTAAGCCTCTCTACTTCTTCCCTAGGGCACTCATGGGAACCCACTTGGCACCCACAGATGCACAGCCCAGAAGTGTGGGAGTCAATGCCCTGTGAGGCAACCCTTGACCAATGGGAGCTAGAACCCAAGGAATAAATATTTCCCTTTCCATCTCCCGAGAAGGTTCCTCAAATGCATTTCATAAGGTTTCCCAGAGGGCCCACACAGGTCCAGCATCTTGTCACCCACAGTGTGGCTAGTGTGATCACACACTCTGGTATTGACTCTTTCTCTGTCCACTCTCACCCCCACTTTCTCCTATTTTTGTGCCTTGGGGTCACCCTTCCAAATGAAGTACCCATGCACAAGCCTTGGTCTCAAGCTCTATTTTAAAGCGCATCAGCCTAAGATGCTCTCAACAAAGTGCTCCAGGCTGCCCGTAATTGATCACAGCATGTTAACTGATCCCAGCTGGCAGGTTGCCATGGAGGTTCAGGCTTGTGTCTAGGCATTGAGACAATGCGCTCACCTCCTTGAAGGTCACTCATCATGCCCCGGTGCCTGCACTTGGACTTACCTGCTTTCAGCAGGGGCTTGAGGGTGGACAGCGACTTGATCCTTTGCAGCAGAGAGCCACGCTGGAAGGCCGCCATGTCCACGGGGGCCGCATCCAGCAGAGGGTCAATGGCTAATGCCAAGCGATGCATGAACTCCTCGTATCTGGGAAAGACCTGGAACAGAGCTCTGCATCAAGGCCCCACCATCCATATCCCTCCCCTCCATGCCGTCCCCATATGGCCTGTCACCCCCACAGCTTGATGGTTCCTCAGGCCTCATTCCCCGCTGTGGCTTGGCTTGGCTCTCTTGAGTTCCCCCAGTTCCAGGTCTCTGGGTTAACATCAACACCAAGAAGAGTACATGGGGTGGAGGTGGGGGTGCTCAGGAGACCCTGGGCGATAGGAGAGCCACCAGCAGTGGCAACAGTGACAAGGAGCTAATGCTGGCCAACACAAAGTGTCACCCATAGAAAACTGGCAAGAATCTTAGGGCGTGGTCTCTGCGATAAACCATGAAACCACTTAGAAGTTTCTTCCTTCTGTCATTTCTTCTTTTTTTTTTCCAAGATGGAGTCTTGCTCTGTCACCCAGGCTGGAGTGCAGTGGCGCGATCTCGGCTCACTGCAACTGCTGCCTCCCAGGTTCAAGCGATTCTCCTGCCTCAGCCTCCTGAGTAGCTGGGATTATAGGCATGTGCCACCATGCCCAGCTAATTTTTGTAGTTTTAGTAGAGACGGAGTCTCACCATGTTGGCCAGGCTGGTCACGAACTTCTGACCTCAAGTGATCCACCTGCCTCGGCCTCCCAAAGTGCTGGGATTATAGGCGTGAGCTGCTGCGCCTAGCCTGTCCTTCTGTCCTCTCACATATTACTGGTAGAAGTTAGACCTTTGCCTGTATTCTTTTCCAGTCTGTAGGTCTCCCACGCTGTCTCATCACCTGCAGTCACAGAAGACTGCCTCTGCTCACCCCACAAGCTCCCACGTCAGAATCCACTTTCTAAAGCCTGGTTTCTGACACTCACCTTCGCTTCCCTGGTGGGCACAGGAGCAGTGATAGAAGCCTGTACTACCGGAGGCCCTACCTGATTCCTCTTAGCCCTGGACTTTGCATTTTGGTCTATCTCTACCCATGGATAGACCCATGACATTTTAATAAGTGTTACATGAAGAAAAGTTCCATGTTAAAATACATTTGAGAAGTCTTGGTAAAAACGAAGTTAAACAGCTTTCTCTAAGCAGGACTTTAATATGACAGCATGGAAAGACAAAACCAGGAATCAAGCTCCTTACTTTCCACGATGGGAAATGGGCCCTTGCCTCTGGCGTGTGTGGTCGCTAGAGTGTAGGGCCACAGCTAGTGTCCTGCAGGCCCGGGGACCTGGCCTTGTGCCAAATCCCCTCAAGTGCATCTGAGATGGGCAGGATTTGGACAACAGGATGCAGGTGGTGGTCTCCAATGTGCCACACAAAAGAACCATCAAAGAAGCACTTTTAAAAAGCTAAGCTCCTCAGGCCGGGTGTGGTGGTTCATGCCTAGCACTTTGGGAGGCGGAGGTGGGAGGATTGCTTGAGCTCAAGAGTTCCAGACCAGCCTGGGCAACATAGTGAGACTTTTGTCTCTACAAAAGAATTAAAAATAACTTAGCCGGGCATGGTGGTGAATGCCTGTAATCCCAGCTACTCAGGTGGCTGAGGCAGGAGGATTGCTTGAGCACGGGAGGCGGAGGTTGCAGTGAGCCAAGATCGCACCGCTGCACTCCAGCCTGGGTGACAGAGTGAGACCCTGTCTTAAAAACAAATGAAATAAAATAACAAAATAAAAGGCTAAGCTTCTCAGGTGATTCTGATCATCAGCCAGGTTTGAAAACTGCTAGTGGAAGAGACATGTAGGCTGTGCATCTGTGGTTCTCTAAGTTTTACCCAGTAATAGATTAACACAAGAAAAGCAGTGTACATGGGTTCTATTAACCTAGGTTCTTCTTATGAAAATGTCTCCACTGAGATATGATTTAATGCTACACCTCAGCTTGTATCCACGCTTGGTACCAACTGTGGCAAGGCCTTTACGGAACTCAGTGGCTCATCTAGACAAGGCCACCCAGCAGGTTCCTAGAATGCAGTTCCAAGGGAAAAAAAGTGCATTCTCCATCCAACATGTGCTCATCCCGTCACCAGAGCTGCACACCATCATGGACACTTTGTTGCTTTGGGCAGTCAGGAGGGAGCCTTGGGATGCCACATTGAATGAATATTTAGAACTCTCTTGTCCTAAGTTCCTGATTCAGTTGATTTTATCCTTAATTTTCTCTGATCGTCCCTCATCCTCCTGGACAAACACCCGGAACTCTGTCTGAAAGCTGGAGGGGCATGAAGCACTTCCTGGTGTAGGAACACGCCGGTGCATTTCCTCTTGAACTCAGCATGCACAGCCCCTCTGACAGTGGCCCCATATTGAATACACGCAGGTATGCGTGTCTTCCAGTCCACTAGTCTTAATCAGCATCCTCCACCCACTTCTCTTCACAGTGCCTGAGATCAAGAGCTGCCACCAACTGGAGCCCTCCTAGGAATGTGGGGTGGCCTGGCCCAGTGCCCATGACCTTTGGACAATTGTTCTAGGACAATCCAACCAGGCCCATCTTTAGGCTGCTGAGGGAGTAGGAGCTCAGTCACCGGTCGCCTTCCCTACCTGGGCATCCTTCCGGGAGAACTGGGCAATCTGCTTCTGGTTTTCTGCCATGTCTGTGCCCAGCAGAAGGGACCTGGGCACCTTGCTGCCCGCATCCTCTTCCAGCATGGGGGTGAAGGAGTAGGGGTTTCGAAGATGAAGCCTCAGCCCATGTTTCTACAGAACACAAACAGCACGGCAACAAATTAATGGCTCTGTGGCCTCTGCCCGTCATCTTTTTCTCCAATTGTTTGTGTGACCATATAGGTACCTGTGTATAGATTCCCAAGTGTATGGTCCTGGTGTCTGTTTTTTAAATATAGTTTAAAGAAAGCCCTCTTGCCCAAGTACCCTATGGTAGACAATACTGTATCATAGCACAGTACACTATACCATTCTATACCATACCATACATACCATACCATGCCATACAGCACCATGCCATGCCACATCATACCATACCACACTACATCACTCACACCATACACACCATGCCATACCACACCCTACCACACCATACGATACTATACCATGTCATATCACACCACACTACGCCATGCCACATCATACCACACTACACCGTGGCACACTCATTCCATGCCAGGGACTGTACTAGGGTTTAGAATGGTTACCTCACAACAACTTTGTAAGTACAGTCTTGCATCACTTAACGATGGGGATATGTTCTGAGAAATGCATTGTTAGGCAATTTTGTCGTAGTTTGAGCATCACAGAGTGTACCTACACAAACCTAGATCTGATAGCCTACCACATATAGGCTGTGTGGTGTAGCCTATTGCTGCAAACCTGCACAGCATGTTACTGCACTGAATCCCGGAGGCAACTGTAATACAATGGTGTTTGGGTATCTAAACATATCTAGGCTGGGAGCAGTGGCTCATGCCTGTAATCTCAGCATTTTGGGAGTCCAAGGTGCACAGATCAGCTGAGGTCAGGAGTTCGAGACCAGCCTGGCCAATATGGTGAAACCCCATCTCTATTTAGAATACAAAAATTAGCTGGGCATGATGGCACACACCTGTAGTCCCAACTACTCGGAAGGCTGAGGTAGGAGAATCGCTCGAACCTGGAAGGCAGAGGTTGCAGTGAGGTGAGACTGCACCACTGCACTCCAGCCTGGGTGACAAAGAGAGATTCTGTCTCAAAAAACAAAAACAAAAACAAAAAACCCAAACATAGAAAAGGTACATTAAGAATATGGCATAAAAGGTAAGAAAAATGATACGTATAGAGCCCTCATGATGAATGGAGCCTGCGGGATCGGAAGTTGCTCTGGGTGAGTGGTGAGTGACTGAAGGCCCAGCACATTGCTGTGCACTACTGCACGCTTTATAAATACAGTACACTTAGGCTACACTACATTGATTAAAACATTTTCTTCAGCAAGTTAGCTTACTGCAACTTTTAAACTTTATAAACGTTTTAATTTTTAAAACCTTTTTGATTCTTTGAAAAAGACACTTGGCTACAAACACAAACATTGTATAGCTATATAAGCTATTTTCTTTATATCCTCATTCTGTAAGCTTTTTTCTGTTTTTAAAATTTTTATTTTATTTTTTTACTTTTTAAATTGTTTTGCTAAAAAGTGAAACGCAAACACACACATCAGCCTAGGGCTACACGGGGTCAGGATCATCAACGTCACTGCCTTCCACCTCCACATCCTGCCCCACTGCAGGGTCTTCAGGGACAGTAACACGTGGCGCTGTCATCTCTAGAGAGCAATGCCTTCTGCTGGATCCCTCCTGACAGACCTGCCTGAGGCTGTTTGACAGTGAATTTTTTAAATAAGGAAAAGGAATACGTTCTAAAATAGTAATAAAAAGTATAGTATAATAAATACATTAACCAGTGACAAAGTCATTTACTATCAAGTATTGTGTACTGTATATAATTATATGTACTAGACTTTTTGACAACTGGCTGCACAGTAGGCTTATCGCCACAAACACATGAATAATATGCTGCACTGCAACTATGACATCGCTAGGGGACAGGAATTTTTTTCAGCTCCATTGTAAGCTTATGGGACCACCATTGTATATAGTCTATCGTTGACCAACATGTTGTCACGTGGCATGTGGCTGTCTTACTATCCTCACTGTACAAAAGCAACACGAGAGGCTCATAGGAGTTACACAATTTGTCCCAGGTCACTTTAGGAGGTAGGTCTGGGTTTCAAAACCACAGCTGTGTAACTGCAAAGCCCCAGCTCTCAGCACCAGTCTGTAACTGCCCCACTTCAGAAATAAATAATTAAATTTAGAAAGACACAATCAAGCAATGGTTATGTGAAAATCTATACTTACAAGGTAGATAAATTATTCACATCAGAACATTTTATTTACTTTGCAGACTCATTTACTCCAGGGTCACTTTAAGTGGAAGTCCCCTTGATGCATTTAAAATATGATTTGATTTACAAATATTTGATTAGCACACAGAACTTTCCAAGAGCACATCTACTTCCTCAAAGGAGGCACAGATAAAGCAAAAGGGGCCTGTGCTGCCTCCAGTTTCTGCTGTCCAGAGGCTTCCTTCTCCAGATCCGTGGCCTGCTCCCTCAACGACTCCAGGTCTTGGCTGGAATGCCACCTTATCAGCCAGGCCTCTCCTGTACTCCCTGCGCCCTCGCCCTGCAATATTTTTCCCCAAAGTACTTGTCACCACATGGCTAATCACATATTTAGTGTTTTCATTGTCTCCCCAAGTAGAATGTGAGCCCTGTGAAGTCAGGGGCATTGTCTATTTTGTTCACTGCTGTATCCCCCGCATGCAGACACAGTGCAGTTAATAAGCATTCCGTCGACTCTGAACGTTGCAGACAAGGTACGGCCGCAGAGGAGGGAAATGAGATCTGAGAGTAGAGGTTTTAGGAAAGCACGAGGAAACCAAAAACAGGCTTTTCCAACAGTTACCACTGGAGTTGCTCCACACTGGAGACGCTCCAGGCGGGCAGGCTCGCCGCAGCTCTGGACACTCTGTGCCTGGAGGAGGTTCCTGACACTGGCGGGGGCCGGGGCCAGGAGACGGCTGGGGTCCCTCCTAACCCTAAGATGGAGACATTCTTTATTCTAAGCTGGAGAAACTTCCAGCTTCGTTCCTCTTAATGTAGTGAACTCTCTCATACCCAGGAAGCATCCTTAGTTTCTCTCCTTATTCTTGACATCCCATACGCTGCCTCCAGAACCTGTGCACTTCTCTCTAAGCCACCATTTCGGGAACCGCTGCAGCGCGGCCTCGTGATCCACATGCGACCCTTCCTGTTTCCGCCCAGTCCTCACCAGCCAGCAGGCGGGCTGACCTTGGTAAAGTCACAAATCCTAGCAGTGAACTTCCTGATCGCACACCTCACTGGCTTCTCGCTGCACCTGGATAAAATGCAGTCCCCGAGTTGGCCCCTGCTCCTCCCACCCCAATCTGCTGCCCTCTGCCTGTCACTCCTCTGCTCTGGCCACACTGACCTGCCCTCTGCTCATGCCTGCCTGGGTGTGTCCATCTCCTCTTCCCTCTGACTGGAGACCGTCTGCTTAGATGTCCACACGGCTGCTGCTGGTGACCTCTTGGTATTTGAAAACCTGCTCAAATGTCACCTCCTTGAGGAACATGTCCTTCCTCGTCGCCATCTAGGCTGGAATCTCCACTCTCTCTCTAATGCTGCCTTCTTTTCTTTTCTTCTTGGCACTTACCTCTACCTGAAGTTCTCTCCCTCAGAGCAGGGTCCTTGCCTTTCCAGTTCACTGCTGTACACCCAAGGGCTTCTCTCAGTGCCTGGCACACAGCAGGTACTCAGAAACATGGACTGAATGAATGAATAACCCCCCAACATGGACTGAATGAATGAATAACACCCCAAATCAGGGACCTAAGAGGAATCCAGAAGTTATTCCAAGTATAACTAATTGACTATGAATCACTTTTCATTTGATTCCAGGACTTTCTCTTCTAAATGGAGGCTCTGTCATTCTTAATGGTGTTAAATCAAACTTAGCTTAAAGCTGCCTCCTTGAATACTTTAAGCTCAGCCTAAAGGTTTCTCTGTTCATAGTGAACTCTAAGCTAGAAGGAGGTGTAAACAGGCTGTAACCTACTCCTGTGTCAATCGCCGAGTTTTGGCCAATCAAAGGGGACCAAGTGTTTAAACTGTGTTCAAATAAGACAAACGCTGAGCTATATCCAATCCAGCTATTTCTGTACCTCACTTCCATTTTCTGTACATCACTTTTCACTTTCTGTCTATAAATCTTCTACCACGGGGCTGTGCTGGAGACTTTGAGCATACTCTGGCTCGGGAGGCCGATCCATTTATGAATCATTGTTTGCTCAATTAAACTCTGTTAAATTTAATTTGGTGAAGGTTTTTCTTTTAACAATGGTTTTAATTATGTGGAGTTCGAATGAGAAGGGGAATGTTAAGTAACCATCAGATTATATCCATGAGATTTGTTCGGATTATGAAGTTTTTTTCTTAAAAAAAAAAATGAAAGCAAAACTCTTCTTTTATTTACCCCATGAGAGTTCTCAGCATGCACAACCATCATGGGTGGAAACTGTTGGAAAGCGCGTGTGTGTGAAGGATGTGTGTCTAAATGACCAGAGATACAAGAGATTTTTTTTTTTTTTTTTGTGAGATAGAGTCTCGCTCTTTCTCCCAGGCTGGAGTGCAGTGGCACGATCTCGGCTCACTGCAAGCTCCACCTCCCAGGTTCACGCCATTCTCCTGCCTCAGCCTCCTGAGTAGCTGGGACTACAGGAACCCGCCACCATGCCTGGCTAATTTTTTTTGTATTTTTAGTAGAGACGGGGTTTCACCGTGTTAGCCAGGATGGTCTTGATCTCTTGACCTTGTGATCCGCCCGTCTCGGCCTCCCAAAGTGCTGGGATTACAGGTATGAGTCACTCTCTCTAAGAGCAGGGTCTGGCCGGTACGAGAGATTTAAAGGGTGTTCTTCTCAAAGTTGTGTTCCGGGGGCCTTCTCTCTCAGAATGACATGAGAATGCCATCAAAAAGACTTTCTGGGCCCCACCACTGCCACCGACCTGTGAGCAAGAACCCCAGGGAAATCTCCGCTTCCCCAGCAGTTTCCCAGGTCATACTCTGTGGCCCTGCAAGTTAGAGCCCTACCTTAGAGAGATTTCCAGGAGAAAAGCAGGAGCAAAATGAATAAGACTGAGTGAGACACAGAAGGTCAGTGAGGGGGGGAGGGAGATGGGGTTGCCTCTGGCAATGAGGTCAAGGCTGGCCCAGGGGGAGGTGGGGAAGGTGGCTTATGGCTGAAGGGGATGAAAAGCCCCCCTCCACATCCCCTTCTCTGCCAGTGCAAAGGCTCTGCCCTTCCAGCCTGGATTCCATCACCCAGCATGAGACTGCTGCAAAAGCAAACTCATTTTCTAGGTGGATGGAACCGGGAGGTGATCCAAGTCAGTGCTCGCATTGACAGCTGTGGAAACTAACACCCAGGACGGGCAGGCAGGCCCTGGTGGGGACCACAGAGGGTCAGTGGAGGGTGCTTTGGCTCAAGAAGGGGAGGAGGGGCAGCGGTGCCAAAGCTAAGCCTCACACTTTAGTTGGCGGCTCAGTCTAATTGGATATAGCCTTATAAGTGGCAGGATGATTGAGTAGTCTCTGGCCATTGGTCTTTCTGGAGCCTCAGTTTTCTCAAGTGCCAAATGGGGGTAATAATAATAGCAACAAGCACTGAGCCCGCTGTGCACCAGGGACTGTGCTGATGTAGCCTTGGGAGGCAGGTGTTGTTGCCATTCCCATCTTACAGATGAGGAAGAGAAGGCATCACATGGCGAAATCACACAGCTGGTGAGCTGTGGAGCAGGGAGGCAGACGCAGCCGGCCAGTTTCCAGCAGCTCCAGTCTCAGCCTCTGTGCACACCCCGCTGGAGCTGCCAGGGACGCTCCATCTATGACCACGTTCACCACAAACTACAAAGAGCTAGAGGCATGTGAGTCTGGGTGGTATCGGTACCAAGAGGCCTGAGTGCATCATAGCTCAAGAACAAGGAGCTGGAGACAGTCTGACCTTGGCTCAAATTCTCCATCACTTTTTAGCTCTGTGAATTTAACCCCTGAACTTTAAGTTCCCTGATTCTAACATGGCTCTTGACTTACAGGTGAGGAACTATTGAGATAGAACATTAAAGGTCATAGCCCAATATGTGATGCTGATAAAGTAAATGCTCTCCATTATAGTTTTGGAAAGAGTATATTCCTGGAAAGAGTTTAGTTGCCCTCCTGTCAATGCCCTCCAGGCCCTCAATGTCCTGTTAAAACAAGGTGCTCCAGATGGGGTGAGTCCTGCACATCACACAGCAGAACTGCTTTCTCCCTGAGCTGAGCACCGTACTCCTATGAATGCAGCCCAAGGCAGAGGTTAAAGCATCTACTCAATTCACTTGGGAGCTTCTAGTTCCAGGAACACTATGACAAACACCATTTCAAATGAGTAACATTTTTTAAGTAAAGAGAATAATCAAGTGAAAATGTCTATTCTGTGATTCTTAGTCTCATAGATCAGGTTTGCCAAAAGGAGGGTCCCTGTTCCCCAACATCTGCTACTATGAATAAGTGGTGCATTTACAAACTGCCTGCTGCTATGGTCTGGTCTGGACTGGAGACCAGCGACTCACCCCCAGCCCTGGCTAGATTTCATCCAGTCCTGGTACCAGGATGCACATACTCTGTCTCAGTGGCTTGAAGAAGTCTCTACATGAACCAGTTAGAGCAGCCAAAGAGCTGTGAACAGCAGCTGGACATCACACTAGCTTAAAATTTTGAATTTAGAGCAAAGATGGCACCAACATGGCCGGGCATGGTGGCTCATGCCTGTAATCCCAGCATTTTGGGAGGCTGAGGCGGGTGGATCATGAGGTCAGGAGATCGAGGCCATCCTGGCTAACACGGTGAAACCCCGTGTCCACTAAAAATACAAAAAATTAGCCGGGCGAGGTGGCGGGCGCCTGTAGTCCCAGCTACTCGGGAGGCTGAGGCAGGAGAATGGCGTGAACCCGGGAGGCAGAGCTTGCAGTGAGCTGAGATCATGCCACTGCACTCCAGCCTGGGCGACAGAGTGAGACCTGGTCTCAAAAAAAAAAAAAAACATGAGTGGCAGCTGCTTGTGCAGATGGCACTAAGACCCCTTTTCTCTGAGTGGTGAGTGACAGTGGCACCAAGCAGGTAGAAGCCAATCAGCCTCAGGAATGTGGTGACGCAGTTTATAAGACAGTGGGGGTGAAGGAAGGTGAAAGGGTTGGCGGCAGGGTTGGGCAAGGTTGCGGACAAAGGTTAGTGGACTGAGAGGCAAACAGCACCAGATGAGACTCCCAGGAACCTTCCCAACAGCCCGGGAGCCAGAAGAGTCCCCAGGCCCCACTTCCTGCTCCAGATGCCAAGAGAGGGAATCAGCTCTCAAGTTCAATGAGGGCAGAAATGGGGCTCGTGTCCCAAGGCAGCTGTAAGCTCAGGCGCCCAAGGCTTCAGATAGGTGTCCCACGGGGCCTGATGGTGACAAAGCTCATTCTTCAAAAGAAGTCTGATTCTTGCATGAAATTTCCCACTTTTCAAGACACTATATGGACAAGACAAAACCCATCCATGGGAACGCAGCAGGGAGACCATGTGGGATACACAATACTTGGGTAGAAGAGGGAGCCCTCAGGGGCGGGCATCACCTCGGGCATGGAACAGGGAGCCTCTGCCCAGGTTGGGAAGATGGAACTGCCTCCTCCCTCCCTGCAATCAGGCCGGGGAGGCCCTACCTTCAGCTCCAGATCAGTGTAAATCTGCGGCCTCAGCAGGCTGAGCAGGTAGGACGCGCGGGAGAACTTAAACCCTGAAACCGAATCCAATGAAGACGGTCACCAGGGGTCAGCAGGGATGAAGACCATCACCAGGGGTCAGCATGGATGAAGTCCGTCACCGGGGGTCAGCGGGGATGAGGACCGTCACCGGGGGTCAGCGGGGATGAGGACCGTCACCGGGGGGTCAGCGGGGATGAGGACCGTCACCGGGGGGTCAGCGGGGATGAGGACCGTCACCGGGGGGTCAGCGGGGAGAGGACGTCACGGGGGTCAGCGGGGATGAGGACCGTCACGGGGGTCAGCGGGGATGAGGACCGTCACGGGGGTCAGCGGGGATGAAGTGTGTCACTGGGGGTCAGCGGGGATGAGGACCGTCACGGGGGGTGAGCGGGGATGAGGACCGTCACGGGGGTGAGCGGGGATGAGGACGTCACGGGGGGTGAGCGGGGATGAGGACCGTCACGGGGGGTCAGCGGGGATGAGGACCGTCACGGGGGCAGGGGATGAGGAGGGGGTCAGCGGGGATGAGGACCGTCACCGGGGGGTCACGGGGATGAGGACCGTCACCGGGGGTCAGGGGATGAGGCGTCACGGGGGTCAGGGGGGAGGTCACGGGGGCGGGATAGGACCGTCACGGGGGTCAGCGGGGGATGGGGGGAGCGTGAGGCGGGGGGTCGCGGGATGAGGACCGTCACGGGGGGTCAGCGGGGATGAGGACCGTCACGGGGGGTCAGCGGGGATGAGGACCGTCACCGGGGGTCAGCGGGGATGAGGACCGTCACGGGGGGTCAGCGGGGATGAGGACCGTCACGGGGGGTCAGCGGGGATGAGGACCGTCACCGGGGGGTCAGTGGGGATGAAGAGGATGAAGACTGTCCCCGGGTCACTGCCCTCCACTCCCCCATGCCACATCGGAGCTCACCTGGGACGATCTCCTCAGTGACAGCTGCACCCCCGATCACATGGCGCCTCTCGAAGACCGCGGTGTTCACCCCCAGTCTCTGCAGGTACGCTGCCTGGGAAGTGGGGCAGCACACAGGGCCCTCCCTTTATCCCTCTGAAATGTCAGGGCTCCCTCGGGCTGACCCGCAGACTGAGGTCCTCACTATAGGCCAGTATGCCCCACACCCTACAGCCTCCCCACCCTGCTCATGCTATTCCTGCCTCTGGGAATGCCCTTCCCTGTGCTTCCCCTTCCACTCTTGCCTTTCCTAGATGTCCTCTAAGATGGGACCGGCCTGCTCCCGCCCCTCCACTTCCCAACTGAAGGTGGTCTTCCCTCCTCAGAGGCCTGGTGCCTCGGGGTCTCACGCTGCTTCCTGCCACCCTGCCCTGGGATGTTCCTCTCCTTCAGGCAGGGCACAAGCCTCATTCCTCCTACAAGCGCAGCACAGTGAGGTGAAACTTGTGAACGCTGACTCTTCCGCCCAGATTCAGCCCCTCGTTCTCTCTCTGCTGCTACAGCCCCAGTACCTGATCCGCCTGGCCTGTTTGTTCACATGCAATAATGGGGCTGATGAAAATAGTCCTGGCTTTACCCACTTCATAAGGCTGCTGTGAAGATGAACTGAGCTGGTCCCTAGACAGGGCTTTAAGTGGTCTCCGGCACAGAGAATGTGCTCAGTAAATGAAGCTGCTCATAGCAGCGCTTTATTTTGGGAGAACAAATGATGCAAGGATTTCTATCAATTTTTTTCTAGCACTTAGTGGAAAAATCAATAAATATCTGTTGAACCAAACTGGTCATGAATCTACCGATCTAAAATGCTGGCCCTGTGACCACAGGAATGGTGCCATGCAAAAGTTAGACTTTTCAAAAAGCTCCCTTGGCAACTATTATGTGCCAGAAACAGTGAGTACGTTGTCTTATTTAATTTTTCCCAACAGCCAAGAGGCAGGTACTATGATTCTCTCATTTTACAGATGAGAAAACTGAGGCTCAATAAGGTTAACAGCTTGCCTCAGGCTCACAGAGCTGATGAGCAGAGGTCTTCGGAATTGAAACGAGACGGTGTGAAACCAGCGTCTATCCTCCTAACATATCCTACTGAGAAAGAAACAGCAGCCGTCACTCAGTGGCTGAGGCCTGGCACGCAAGGTAAGCTGCATCTCCTATTACACAGGAATGATCTCACAGATGGACAACCCCAAACAAGGTTTCTATAAGACTATGATAAAATGAGGCAAGCACAAACAAAAGCAATGTCTCAGTGCCATCGAGAAAATACCCAACACCCCTCTTGGCTGAAATGAGTGACTGCTACTTCTGTATCAATTACTGCTCTCCGCACACATCTCTCTCCTCCCTACAGATCGGATTTCTTGAGCTGCCCAGTTGCAGGGCTGCCCCTCCTTCCTGAGAGTATCTAATCTATGGCAAGCCCTATTTCCTTAGGCCTTCCCTCGAATCAACCAAAGCTCAAATCCTGTGCTAGGTTCTTTCTAACACCTTCCTACTGAGGCAACCCGAGGTTCCCCTGATGTGAGTCCCCTCGCTGCAAGGAGCAAGAAACCCAACTAGACTAACTACAAGTGTGTTCCTGGTGGGCTTTGGGTGAAGGGGATGGATGCCAGCCTTCCTTGGCCTGGAAACTTCCAATAATAACAGCCACCACTTGCATGTGACGGGTTCTAGCAGCAAATGATCCATTACCTTCACAGCAGCTCTGTGAGGGCAGGTGCCATTGTTCCATTTTACAGTGACTCGGAGAGGCTAAGTGACTCACCTTAACCTTCACAAAGTGGCAGAGCTGGAAGATGAATCTTTGTTTATATTAATATAAAATCAGGCCTATATTAATATAAAATTAGGCCGGGCATGGTGGTTCATGCCTGTAATCTCAGTACTTTCAGAGGCTGAGGCAGGCGGGCCACCTGAGGTCAGGAGTTCGAGATCAGCCTGGCCAACATGGCGAAACCCCATCTCTACTAAAAATACAAAAATTAGCCAGGTTTAGTGGTGGGCGCCTGAAATCCCAGCTACTCAGGAGGCTGAAGCAGGAGAATTGCTTGAACCCGGGAGGTGGAGGTTGCAGTGAGCTGAGATCGTGCCATTGCACTCCAGCCTGGGCGACAAAGCAAAACTCCATCTCAAAAAAAATTAAATTAAAATAAAATAAAATAAATGTTTTAAATTACTGATCCATTGAGTTACAAAATGCCCCACATAAAATGTTCAGGTAAAACTTGGACATCAGGCAAAGTATTAAGGTTTAACATCAGTCCGTTAGCACATCCACAGTTACCCCCATATTGATATTCTAGAGCTGCCGCTGCTTCAAGAAGATGTTCCATGTTTGTTTTGTGGCTTGAATACCTTCTGTGGCCTCCTGGAGGTATCTAGACTCAGGTTACAGAAGCATAGGCTAAGGATAGCTCTGGGCCACCCAGCTCAGCTTGGGATCTTGAAGTCAGTTGTGCTGGGGACGGGGCGCTGGCCCTTCTGCTAGGCTGAGCTCCTCAATGTATCCAGGGCACACTCTGGCCACATAGCGGCTATGTACTCCAAGGTGGTACGTGGCCTAGACCTGGCTGGGAGCACAGGGCTCTAGACACAAGGGCTGACTATGATCTGGAGTCAAGGGACCCCACCCTGCCCTGGGTGCCCAATCCCCTGCTTCCCACCTGCTCCCATGCTATGTTGGTTACATGCTTCCCCGCCTTGTCAGCTTGTTTCTGGAAGCTCCCTGACTCCCTCCCAGGCCATGGGGAAACCACCTTTCCCCATTAGGGGAAGGGGAGGAAAGCAGCCTGTGATGTCCTCAGCTGGCTGCAGATGTGCATTCGACCCAGCCCCCGGTCAGTGCGGGAGAGCAGAGGGTGCTGACTAGGCTGCCTTTTCCTTCTCTCTCGAGGCCCTTATCCCACCTGCTTCTTCACACTCCTTCCCAGGCTGCTGAGAGTCACACACCCAGGGGCCAGTGAAGTGGGATCAATTAGGGAGGTACTCACAGCCACCAGTCCGTTGTGTCCTGCAACGAGACAGGGGAGAGGGAAGGAAAGCATCACTGGTCAGCCGGCGGGCAGACGGACAGTCCTTGAGGAATGTGCTCACTGCTCCCTGTCCCCATGCCATGAAGATCCAGTGACCCTCCCCTCCCCTTCCCGCATTCAGATGTTGGAACAGCAGCTAGCTCAACTCCATGAAACACCAGATCTTCAAGGAGTCAGAAAAGCCTGGTCCTTGCCCTGGCTGGAAAAGTCCTGCTCCCCTGGCTTGGTCAGGGGCTCTGCTGGAGTGAGGGGCTGATGCTTGGGAGGTGCAGGTGATGGTATCTGAGGGAGCAGCACGGCTGACTTGGCAAGCAGGAGAAGCAATGGGTGGCTGCATGCTGGTGCGCCAACGTCCCGTCTCGCATGGCAGCATCAGCATCCAGGGGAGTGCTGGTCATGTGGGTAGCTGCTGTCAAGTGTGGCTTGTTTTGCCCACATGTGGTTCACAATCGGCACAACGGTGCCCTAGGAGGCTTCATTCACATGGGTTTGTTTTTGCCAATCCCCAGTGTTCCAAAAATAAAATGTGAACAGTTCGACAGGAAGTAAACATGTACAGTTTCAACATGTGCTGGAGTGACGGGCTGTGCTTCAGGGTGCCTTGGGCTGAGAGGCCTGAATTTGGCCTTGGCATCTCATGTTCCACACCAAGCCGCTGGGTAGCAAGTGCCTCTCCAGCTCTGATAAGCTCAGAATCACCTGGGAGGCTGTGTAAATGTCGACTCCCAGACCCCCTCCCAGGAGTCTATTCAGCAGGTGTTTCACAGAACCAAGAGTTTCATGAGCTAAAATTAACTCTGACCACATGAGAAGCATGTGAGAAGCTAGTTGGTTATAGTTCATCTTAAAAAGTGCTGCTTGACATACTCTTTATTTGTATGGGCTTTTGAAAACGTTCATAAGAAAGTTTAAACAGTCTGCCAGTTGGGACTCATGAGCAGATGGAACCTGTCTCAAAGACATGCAACAAACTAAAGGCAGACAGTCCTGGGCTCAGCCCAGCCTCTGCTGTTTGCCAGGGTGTGACCTCAGAGAGTTGTCAGCTGCCCTGAGCCTTGAGCTTCTTCACGTGGGGAACAGAGGGTGCCAGGGACCCTGCAGCGCGGCAAGGATGAGATAAATGGGAGCTATTTGTCTTTTAATTGGTGCTGATGGTCAGTCTTGGAAAACTCAGTTTTCCAGGCAACTGGGTCCAGTTCAATCACGGCAGACCTCAAATGAATAAGGTAAAGGATCCAAAGCGCAAGACCCCCTCCCAGTGGCCACCCCCAGGTCTGGCTGAGCCCTCCTTGGCTTCTGGTGACACCTCTGTTTCCTTGAAGAGGACTTCAGCTGCGGGCTCTGCTAATCCCCAGACCTGCCTCAGGGGCCCCACAGCAGCCGCCTGGGCCCTTGAGAAGCTGCTCTGGGCGTGGGCTCTGCAGCTGCCTGCATCAGGCAGGGTTGGTTGGGCGGATGTGCTGACCTCCGGGAGTCACTTCCTGCCCTCAGAATGCTCATCACCAGGTACGGGGCCAGGAATGTCCATTTTAACAAGCTCCTCAGTCACTCTCAGGCACATTTAGTCAAATGACTAAATCAGAGTCATCTTCAAGGTGGCGGCCAGGCGCCAGTGTGCCTTCAGGGACTCAAGAGGTAACCCTTGTCTCAGAATATGCCACTGTGTTCCTCACTCAGGCCCAAGATGCCTTTAAACCAGGCTTCATGGTATGTTTAGCAACTAAAGAAATCATGTCAAGGAAAAGCTCACACACTGAGACTCACTTGCACTTGTAGGCAAGTCACCAAGGCAGCTGGTGACCTAGAGTCAACCTTCCCCATTAGGAGACAGCAGGGTGAGCTGTGGCCGAGCACGGAAGAAGGCGGGGGCTTCTCTGAGGCTAAGCAAGGCGCTGGAGCTGTCTCCCACCAGCCCAGGGAGTTTGTGAGCCGGATGTCAAATAGCCATTGTTAGAAACTAAATTATATAAGCTTACAATTAAATAAATGATATTAAAAACAAAGGTAATAAATACTCCAAACACACTACTTCCTATTTGTTTTACTACATTTGTCTGTTCCCCATGCCTTTGCCATCAATGGCCTCTAGGTACATATCTGCATGGTGGACATACTATACAATGATGTGCCAGTGGGTATCACTCCCAAATCACATTCAGCAACCTCATCTTGGTGACAAAAAAGGCCATGGTGGGAGTATTCCCACCACCGTCATCAGCAAATATTACACAGCAGGGCTGAATTTATTGTTCTGTGGTCAGGCTTAAGAAAGCGATGGGAAAATGCTAATAATGCAAATTAAACCTAACAGCATTAGCTGTTACAGCGTGAATAGCATAAACATTGAAGGAAATCTAGTATTTAAAAAAATTATCTTATTTGAGTAACATCATTCCTGTCATTTAAAGAAAGGAGACCGGGAGCGGTGGCTCATGCCTGTAATCCCAGCACTTTGGGAGGCTGAGGCGGGTGGATCACAAGGTCAGGAGTTCGAGACCAGCCTGGCCAACATGGTGAAACCCAGACTCTACTGAAAATACAAAAATTAGCTGGGCGTGGTGGCGGGTGCCTGTAATCCCAGCTACTCAGGAGGCTGAGGCAGGAGAATCACTTGAACCCAGGAGGCAGAGGTTGCAGTAAGCTGAGATTGTGTCACTGCACTCCAGCCTGGGTGACAGAGTGAGACTCTGTCTCAAAAAAAAAAAAAAAATTAATTAATTAAATAAAAATTAATTAAAAAAATAAGGAGTAAGGCTGGGATATAAATCTTTGCTGTTTCACGATCGTCCTACTCTTTACAGAAAATATGGAGCACCATTCTCTTCGGAGCTACCCTCATTTGTCAGATGCAACTATAGGTTGGCTACTGAGTTTGGCAAAAATCAAAGAAAGCCTTTGGTAAGAATCACTTGCCTAGACTGCATTTAAATTGAGAGTATTGTATTTTTATTTGTAAAATTGTGTGCAGTGTATCTTTTATTTCAATATTTAAAATAAGCATGTGTGTGTCTATATATGTATGTATACACATATATGTATACATATATGCATACGTGTGTATATACGTGTGTGTGTATATATGTATGTGTATACACACACACACACAATCACACATTTTTCCCTGGAGAGGTGACTGTTGAGTATCTACCAGCTCGCAACTGCTCTAGTACATAGGAAAATGAACACATGCCTTCAAAGCTGCATAATGAGTGCCGTCTGCTTTCGGTCCCTGTCATTATCTCTGTAAGCTCTAGCTGGCAATCATGCATTTGGGGCCCTCTGCAAGTGTGAATGGAAGGCACTAAGCAAGAACCACCTGGTCCTGGGCCTGCTTCTTCCCCTAGCACCCAGTAGACTTTGATACTCTTGAGCTCAGGGGTTGGCAAAGTATGGCAGGATCACTGCAGATTCACAAATGTCCCAGAGCTGCAAGGCAATGGGGGCCACTGCCCTCCGCAGACACGCAGTAGGAACTCCAGAACTCAGTTCTGTTTTATCCTAACTGGCCTTTATGAAATGACTGCAGTTTCTTGTAAGGATGGGTGGCCTCAGTGGTAAGGCAGTGGTGACCAAAACTCATGGCACTGTGGGGGAGGTTGGGGGAGGGTGCTGGATTTCACCTGTCTGTTGGCCCAGAGCTCGTTCCAACCCTTAAAACCACAGGCTGAGAATGTGGTGGAAACTAGGTCATTTTGCAGGAGATAGAGGGAAACCCCTGAGCTCACCTAGTCTTCTTGTCATTCTCCACGGAAGATCCAAGCCCAGAGAAAGCAAGCATTTGCCCCAGGCCACACAGCAGAGCCAGCCCCAGAATCCCAGGTGCCTGCCTGCCAGATGGCTTTCCGCTGCAGCCCCTGCTAGTGTATAAACTTCTGGCGGGTTATGACCGAGGAGAGAGCAGTGGGGCTTGGCAAGGCCTCCCCCTCCCTACCAAGCTCTGAGCAGGGCTGCCTATCCGCCCCTCAGCTCTGGCCCAGCCTGCTTTACCACTTTACCTGCTCCTATCACCACCGCATCATACTCAGGCTTCAGACCTCCCCCGGCTTCTGTGTGAGCTCCTCTCCAAGCTGGGAAGGGAGAGGCAGCCACAGCCCTGCAGAGACCTCGGCCACTTGCAGCCATTTCTGCCCCAGGCTGGGCCTTGCTAGGCAGGGAGTTAGCTGGAGATTTGCTTTTGTGCTGCCCTAGGCAGGGGGTGGAGCAGGGAGGAAGCAGGAAGAGGAGGAGCTGCAGTCCCCCTCCAGCCCTCCTCCACCGTGCATTCTTGGCCACAGGCCAGCCTCCTGCTGCTGTGCAGCTGTGCTGGGCCATCGGGAGGGGTTGCCTATTAACCAGGCGGTGTCACCTCCAGGATGCAGGGGAATAATGACAAAACTGATAATCCACTGGGGTTCCCATGTCAGGCTGGCACTGTGCTGAACTCTGTAGGCAAAACTCCCCATTTTACAGATGAAGGCACTGAGGCTGCGGGGTTAGGGAGTGGTGGAGACAGAGCGGAGCTCCAAAGGGCCCTCTCCTCCCCTGTGCGGCTCCCTTCTCAGTCAGAACTGAAATGCCTGGGAGGGCAAGTGCTCGTGTCAGACTCTGCTCCGACTCCATGCTGAGTCTGCCAGTGCAGAGTGGTGATGCCTCTACACCCACAGGAGGCGCCCAGGGCAGCCATCTAGTGTCACCACGACCAGGGCCTTCAGACACCGCAAAGGCAGCTGTGTTTGTCGCTGAGGAGCACTGGAGTCCTCTCCTAAATGCTCAAACACACCCCTCAACGAGGGCTTAGGGGCAAGTTCACTGTCTGTAATTCTCTGGGTTTTCTTCTTTTGAAGGCCTGGCCAGTTCTCTTCTTTTGGCACTTTGCCCATTTTCCCAGAATTCCCAAGGATTGGAGGTCACATCGGTAAATACCTCCAGCTAAAGTTCTTTCTGACCCTCCCTTAGGCCTGCCTTGAATGAGGAGCCCCTTTGTTCTCTGCCCATTACTTAGCAGAGTGTTCCCTAGGAGGAGAAGGCCCCTCGCAGCGGAGCGTAGAGTTCCTGCGCTGCTCTGACACGGCAGCGTGAAGGAAACCTGCTGTTGGTAACCAATCTCAGAACTGGGAGTATGTGGAGATGATCCTAAGAGGGGGTTCTGAGGACCCCTCCACACACCATGGACAGTTACCCCACATGTCAGCATCTCTGCTAAGATCTGATTCAGGATGTCCACCCCTGTGTTATTTATTATATAGAAAGATCAAGGGGACTGGTTAAACTAGACATATCACATTCAGCCACTGCTAAAAACTAAAGGGAAATAGTAGGCGACAAAAGCAGGTATCCTGAACACTGGTGGGTTCAGAGGATTGGAGTTTTTTCCTTTATGCTTTTCTGTATTTTCCACAATCCATGCTTTTCATTGCCATTCCATCAGATGATGATAAGGAGGAACACAGATCCAGTCACCTGAGGGGACACTTCCTCACTGCCTCCTTCTCTGGGTTTAGACCAACGAGTGGGTTCGAGCTCCCCCAACGCCTCCCCAAAACTGTTCCCTGCAAGGGAGAGACCAGTCTACGTGAATTTTGGCCCAAGACTGAAGACACAGAAGGCGCGGCTCCCGCATGCACAGCACAGGGCCATCTGTTCCTGTGCTGCGGTAGACGCTGATTTCTGCCACGCTGCCCTCTCTGGCCCAGCACCAGCCTCCTGGCCTCAGAGGAGCAGATGCTCCCAGTCCCAGGGCTCTCAGGATCTCTTGTCCTTGAGTCCATTCTGGGACAGGAACTTCTCGGTTGGAAGAGAGGGGCTGTACCCCTTGGGTGGTGGTTCTCAATCCAGGGCGCACCACGGAAGCTTTGAAAGACATCAAAACCTGGGCTCCACGGCCGCCAAGCGAATCCATATCTCTGGGCCAGGGCCAGGGGCTTGAGAACCCCAGCCCCAGGGCAGACGCCAGCCGAGCGTGAAGGGGCTGGGACTTAGCAAGGGCTTATCGGCACGACAGAAGGGTCTAGAAGCACAGGCGTGTTGAGCTTCAGTGATAACAATGACCAACATTTATTGAGCACCTACCGCATTGGGTAACCCTCACACCACCCTGGGAGGGAGGTGCCATCGCTTTAAATGTGAGGAATAGAAGAAACTTTCCGGGAGATGCAGACAGGAAGTGGCAGGGCTGGAATTCAGACCCAGGCAAAGGAGCACCTTTTACCTGGGGTAGGAGAGAGCTTGCCGGGTGGGCTCCCTCCCCATCTCCCAGGATAAGGCAGAGGCAGCTCTGGAAGAGGAGCTGCTGCCACTTTTGTTTTACGAAGACAAACTGGACCCCTGGGCTTCCCTCTTCCTCCAGAGAGAAGGATCTGGGGCCTTGCACATACCCCACATGGAGGGTGGTCTAGGTGGGGTTTTAGAAACCCTGGGGCCACCCTGGGCATTCTGCCCCATCCTCAGGACGGCCACTGCAGACAGCAGGCTCTTGCCATGGGGAACAGTGGCAAGCAAGAGCAGCTGGAGGACGGGGTGCAAAAGCAGACTGCAGCCACCTTGGCCTAGAGCAGGGGGATACGGGAGGCCTCCCAGAGGCGCCGGGCCAGCTGGCCGGCCTGCTGCACCAGCAGGTCAGTGGGGATGACAGACAGGTGCAGGGCCAGCAGCTCGTAGCACCTGACAGCCTCGGCCGGGCGGTTCTTGCTGTAGTAGCGCAGGAGCTTCCTGGGAAGGAAAGGGAGGACGGGATTCAGGAGCGAGGCTGTTGCCCTCCTCCAGTGCCAGAGGCCTCTCGGGGCCCTCGCGAGCAAATGCCGTGTCCTCGGTCATCTCACTAGGCCCCTGCACGTGGGCCTTGACACCTGCTCCTGTTCCTCACTGACCTAACAGTGCCATCCTGGCTACGAGGCAGCAGTGGGGATGTTCTGGGCCGGGCGCAGACGTTTCCCGTGCTGCCAAGACCATGCCAGCAGGAAGGCGGTAGGAACACAGACGTGCCCTCCACACCCATCCTCCCTCACTGCACACAGGCCCAGCTGGGAAGGTGTTCCCAGTGTGGATTTCTGGGTCCGGGGTAGGGCACTGCTGAAGCAGAAGCCGCTCCCGGCAGAGGCGAGTACTTTTTACCCACACGGGGGTGTCCGTCCCCAGCGGCTCCCGACGTGCCGTCACCTGTAGTAGTCTCCTCCCAGCATGCCAATAGGCACCGAGTCATCGGAGAGGACGGGCACCTCGATCATCTGGAGTTTGTACCCCTGAGGAGGGAGGACAGGGAGGCAGTGGGTGTCGGGGGAGCACATGGGCCCGAGTTAGACGCACCGGGCTCGCAGCCTGGCTTGGCTCTGCCTTGTGCGCTGGGTGCTTGGGAAAATGCCTGGACCTTGGTTTTTCATCTTTGAAGTCGGAATAACAACAGTCGCCTTATGAACATTAGAGACAAAGTATACAAAGTTCCAAGGGCCGGCAGGGTAGCTCTCATTCCCATCAATACCTGGACCTGCACAGGCCACACACACATGCTCAGGAGGGCAACCTGCAGGGCTGTCATTCAGGGTCTTGAAGAGCAGAGCATTCACAAAAGGCCTAAGCCTCTGCTTTGAAAGAACTGGGAATTGCCAGGGTGGGATAAGGTGGGAAGGGAATTAAGATCTGCTGGACGTGCCCTGTGTGCCAGGCACGAACATGGCGATTAGCTGATGCTTGTGTGGGCACCGTGGCCTACCATGCAGGGGGAGTGGACTCCGAAGCGTGCAGGGCTGCCCCCGTGGCACCAGTTGGTCTGTGTGGCTGACATTCAAACCTGGCCTCTCCAGCTCACAGCTCTGCCTCACTGTATCACCCCACGGGGCCACCCAAGCACACAGACTCCTGTCCCTCCCTAGAAGTGAAGGTAAAGGTCACAGGAATTTTCTAGCACTTCTGTTGTACACAAGTCCTGGGCACTTCCAGGGGCACAGAGGAAAGCAGGGAGCCTGCAGGCTGGGGGAGGAGAGCTTGGGCTCCGGCTTCCTCACTTAACAACCTCGGTGGCCCTGGCCATGGTGTCTGATCTCTAGATTGTCTCCATCCATACAATGGGGTCAGGGATCCCTGCCCCAGCCACCGCACAAGGCTGTGAGGGATGACTGAGAGAACAGCGGCGGAGGGCCCCGGTAACCACCCTGCCCTATGGAAAGGGATGGCTGTCACCCTCAGTGAACAAAGAGAGTGCAGGGTGGGTGCAGGGGAAGGCACAGTAGTTCAGGGACCCAGAGACCAAGGGCTGCGAGGGAGGTGGAACGCTCCTGAGAGCTGGAACAACCATTCCTGGTGACAAACGAGATGCAAATAAAAGAGAAACAAGAGGAAAGCAAAGAAAGGGAACAGAGAGGAAGCAAAGAAAGAGACAGAGAGGAGGGAGAGACAGGAGGAGAGGGGCAGGTGGCCACAGACAGTAAGTTCCCCTCACTGGAGCCTACTCTGCAGTAACGGTGAGGCCCAGAGGAAGCAGTGTAGGGCCAGGAGGCCAGGGCCCCGAGCCACACCACCAGTGTCTCCTTGGGTGGCCTGGCTCACTGCTTCAAGCAGGGCCTATGCTCTTGAGTTCAGGGGCCTATGCCACAGGGATGACCGTGTGCCATGCTTGGCATGTGATGCTGGCGACATGGAAGCACTAGCGACAAAGTGTATGATCTGAGTTGCGTTTCCCGCAGTGGGGCGTGTGCTTATCTGCTCACATGTGTGCCTGGATGCCACGTGGACAATGGCAAGAGTTTGCCAGACAGCTGGGCAGAGGGCTCACAAAGCAGTTAAATGCCCACGTGAAATTGTGACCTCTGAGCTCTGGGTCCCAACCTGCTGGGCTTACCAGCAACAAGAAGAGAAGATGAGACAGACAGACAACAATTCAGAAGAAATGAATCCAAGAGTGACAGAGCGGGAAGTGTGTGCGGACTGTCCTCGCCCAGGGACTCGGCCTCACCTACCATGTCATTCTCGAACCACAGGAAGTAGGAGCAGTAGAAATCGCCCTCCTGGAACAGCAGTGTGGTGTAGCCCTTCTGCAGGTATCTGCGCGCCAGCTGGATCAGAGACCAGACCTGGGGAAAAGAGGAGAGTGAGGAGCACCACTCTCTCAGCGTTGGTCTGCCCGGGCAGCTCTCACCTCTGAAGGAAGGAAAGTGCACAGATGAGAAACCCATGAGTGCCAGGGGCCTCTCCTAGTACCTGGGCACTGCCTTGGCCCAGAGCAGAAGGCTCAACAATAAATCATTATTGGATGGATGGACTACCGTCCAGTTAGCATGGGGGCAAAATATATGTAAAAAAGCTTTGTGTAACTTTACTATACACATAAGCCATACATTAGTGAACTGGGCTGGTGTGGTGGCTTATGCCTATAATCCTAGCACTTTGGAGGCTGAGGTAGGTGGATTGCTTGAGCTCAGGAGTTCAAGACCATCCTGGGTAACATAGCAAAACCTCATCTCTACAAAAAACACACAACAATTAGCTGGGTGTGATAGCACACACCTGTAGTCCCAGCTACTTGGGGGGCTGAGGCGAGAGGATCGCTTGAGCCCAGGAGATTGAGGCTGCAGTGAGCTGTGTTTGTGCCACTGCACTCTAGCCTGGGTGACAAAGTGAGACCCTGTCTCAAAAAATAATAATATTAAAATAAATAAATTAGTGAAATTAGAAAATAGCCAGGGACATCATTAATTAACACAGGAGAACAAGGTGTGGTCTCCTGAATCCATCCTAGTGCCCTTCAGGCTGGGAACTGATGATGGTCCAGGTGAGTGACCCTGTAGGATGTCCTGAGCCAGGGGTGAAGTCCAAATCAGAGCTCACCAAGGGGTCAGATAGAAACCCAGGGCCTGAGAAACCACATGCCTTAGCTCCCCTGGGAATGTCCTCCTGCCTGACGCAGGGACCGTCACCAATGCTGCCAGCGAAGTGCCCCAGGGAAGGCCGTAGGGACAGTGGGCTCTCTCCCACCTCTCAGGGCTGGGAAGAGACTCGAGGAGCCCGCTCCTCCACCCTTAGCGGGAGGGACAGGCGATCTGCTCCAAAATGCATCACTGTGCAATTACTAATTAAATCTGCCATGGATTGATTATACTTTTCAGGAAAGTAATTTGACAACATCCATTAATAACCTTAAAAACATTCCTCCCATCTGACTTAGTAATTCCATTTCTAGGAATCCATATTGGGGACATAATCAGAGATGGGGACACAGATGTATGTAAGGTGTATACTGCAGAATTATTTATAACAGCAAAAGCCTAGAAATAATCTGTGTGTCTAAACATCAGGGAAATGATTCAATAAATTATGTTACATTCACATGATGGACTATTACGGAGCTGCTAAAAATCATGTCTATAAAGAATTAATGGCATAAGGAAATGCATCTGATATAATGTGAAGTGAAAACATGGTAACAAAGTTGCACATACAGAGTGATCTCAACTACAACAAACTGCACAGAAAACCAACAAAAAGAAACGTACCAACATAACCCCGACTGTCTCCAGAATGAGGGGCAAGGACGAAGATGGTGATGACGATGCTGCCAGTAAGTACTGAATGAACTGTATCTGCATTTTGTACCACGTGCTATGCTAAATATTTGACACGTATCCTCTCATGTAATCTTCATAACTCTGTGACATAAATAGCAGTATTTTTTCCTTCTACGGATGAGGAAACTGACACTTGGGCTAAGTACTGCCCAAAACCACATAACTGGTGGGAGATGGGGCTGGGCTTCCAACACATGCCTCTGCCACCCAACTTCCCATCTTCCTATCTTGTTTTAAACATTAGAATAGACTTCACTTGCCCCCCACGGCCCCCCCCCAAAAAAAGAAAGCGCGCACACACACACACACACACGTATAGTTTTTTTGGGCAGTGGCAGGGGTCCTCCCCCTACCAAAAATATAACTTTGCCATGAAAACCAGTCAGTTAAATAAGGAGAATAAAAGAATTTCCAGGGAACGCTTCCCTAACAGAAATCACTTTGTTTTAAGTTCTGATGCCCAATTGATGTACCTTGCCGTTCTCTCCATTCTAGCTCATTCAACAAATACTTGTCGAGCATTTATTTATGCTGGCACTGGCCGTTGCCTCTTCTGGCCTGCTGCCCAGCGCACTCTGCTAGCCCCAGGTATGTGGATCACACCAGGAGGGACTGCCCAATATTGGCTAAGGCCCACCCATCCCCACCCTGGGCCCGAATGGTTACCTTGGTTTTGACAAAGGCAGCCAGCGGCCCCTTGCCTAACTCGGACGAGGTCTTTTCACTGCAGTTGAGGGAAGGCGCCACCATCTGCCCGGTTGTGCGGTCCACGTAGATGAAGTGCACCAAGCCTGGGAAGTCTTCTAGGTAGGTGAAGGTCTGAGTTAAGGTGCTTACCAAGCCAGGAGCTAGGGATGACCTGCCTCTGTCCTCGCCCTGGGCTTCCAGCTGTGCCCAGTCATGGTGGCAGGAGGGCCAGGACTGCTTCTCTCCAGCAGCTTCCATTTCAGGCAAGCCCCCTGTCTCCTTGCTTCCTCAGATCCCCACTACCTCCCAGCTCCCCAGGCCTTGAAAAGCTGTAAGATCCTCAACGCTTGCATAGTTGACATGGGCAGTTCTGGCCCTATAGGAACATGGTTTGCTCACAGTTCATCGCTTTCATGAGGGATGAATTTAAGTCAGACACACGTGAGGCTGGAATGTGAGCACAGCCACTTGGTTCATGAGTGAGCCTAGCTGACCGCCCAACCTATGCACCTCAATGTGACCTTGCTAAACCCTTACACTTCATCATGAGAGTCTGGAAGGCTCCCATTTGGGAGGGGAAGAGATATCCATGGAAGGGCAGCAGCTGGTGGCTAAAGAGGCCCTCTGGCATCCTTTCACCTGCCCACTGAGGACCTGCCTCAGGAGACTGAGGGCTGGACACTTCAGAGATGATATGGGAAAAGCTGTTTTACATCAAGTTCCATGGAAAATCAGTATTCAATGAAATTAGTGTTCCATAATAAAAGGGTCAAACAGTCTTAGGAATGGTTTTTGAAACAGGGATAAACATTTACTGTAGGCCTTCTCGGAGCTTTTACATGCCACTGTCCACTGTGATGATCTAAGAAGGACATGGCTCTTTCAACCCAACTAGACCACAGGAAGCCACCCCGTCTCCACCCCTTGTGGAATACCTATTACTATTTTGCCAGCTGGCAACACTGACACAAAGAGTCTTTATGGCTTTTGTGAATTAACTTTGGGACAGGAGGAATTCCTGTAATTTCAGCTTGGAATGTTCCTATAGACAAGGCACACGGGTCACTATGTCCTATTGTTTTCCTTCAGAGAGGTGGTGAGCAGCTGAGGGGTGGAAAATACATTTCCCTTCCCTGGGGCCCACAGTCCTTCTAGGGAGCAGGTGTGGAGGCAGAAGACCCGAGGGGCTTGTTGGGCTGGCTGGAGCCCCGGCATCAGGATATGACACCATGGTGATGTTCCTCCTGCTCTTCACCAGCAAGAAGTCCTTCCAGTCCGTCAGCTTCTCCCTGCCGAGGGAAGCTTGGGCTGCATGGAGGAAGTACGGGCCCCAGACCCTGCCCTTGCCATCCAGGGGGCCGCACCGCACTTACCGCATGAGCCTCTGCACTTGGTCCTGCAGGTGCTGAGGCAGGTGTGGGCCTCCCCTGTTGGGGGCTGTGGTCAGGAAGTTCAGCCGGTAGATGGCGCAGAGCTGCCGCTTCAGCTTCCCACATGCCTGGAGCAGCCTGGGCATGAGAGAGGAGAGCATCACAGCAGAAGGGACGTAGGGGAGCCCCTCGCCCCATGTGGACCACCTCGTTCCTGCACCCAGGACAGAGAGACCTGGGGACCCCCTCGCCCCGTGTAGATCAACCTGCTCTTGTACCCAGGAGAGACAGACAGACAGACAGACCTAGGAGACCCCCCTCGCCCCATGTGGACCTCCCTTTTCCTGCACCCAGGACAGACAGACCTAGGGGAGCCCCTTGCCCCTGTGTGGACCACCCCACTCCTGTACCCAGGACAGACACAGACCTAGGAAAACCCCTCGCCCCGTGTGGCCCACCGCACTCCTACACCCAGGACAGACAGACCTGGAGAACCTCTTGCCCCTAAGTGGACCACCCCATTCCTGCAGGACAGACAGACAGACCTAGGGGAGCCCCTCACCCCATGTGGGCCACCCCACTCCTGTACCCAGGACAGACTTAGGAGAACCCCTCTCCCCATGTGGACCAACTGACTCCTGCACCCAGGACGGACAGACAGACTTAGGAGAGCCCCTCGCCCCATGTGGACCTCCCTGTTCCTGCACCGAGGACAGACAGACCTAGGGGAGCCCCTTGCCCCGTGCAGACCACCCTGCTCCTGCACCCAGGACGGACCGACCTGGGAAGCCCCTCATTCCTAGGCGGACCACCCTGCTCCTGCACCTGGGACAGACAGATGGAAAGACCTAAGGGAACAGCCACAGCTGATCAGGCAATAGGAAGGAGCTTCCCAGCTTCTCTACATGGTGTGCCACATATGTGGGAAGAAATCTCCTTTCTTGAAATTATTTTGATGATAAACGACGTGCAGTGGTGGAGGAGATGCGGTCTCCCAGGGAACAGTCTGCCTGGGCACATGACCCACCCCTTGTCCTGAGGCCCACCACTTACTCGGAGGAGGATCCGGGCTCACTTTTGGAGAAAGCCTTGGCCTTAAACTCCAGCCAGGTGCTCTGTAAGGAAGACAGGTGGCAGGTTTGCGTCCCCACCATGTTTCCAGTGAGGTCCAGGCCAAAGTCCTTCCCAGATCAGGCTCTGAGAGGGCACAGGGCCCCCAGACAAATCTGCCCATCTGGCCAATGCAGGCTACCCTGGCAGGCCCCACCAGCCCCCTGCAGACTTCAGTGTGCCATGTTCTGGTCACTCAGCAGTGTTTATTTAAAGGGCAGTTTCCAGGGGCTCACTGTCTGATGGGCACAGGCACGTACAGTAGCGCCCTCACAGTGACCAGGCCAGCCCCTCAGGGTTGGGGGGCACACATAGGGCAGGGGCTGGGGTGTGCAGAGAAGGTGCTGCTGCAGGAGCTGGGAGGGCATGGGGTGGGCATGGGGTAGCCATGCAGGGGGCGGCCCCACAGGATCTCTATAAAGCAGAACTTGGTGTTCTAATGAAAGTGCTCCTTAGGACGCCCTGAGGCACTGCGGGATGCGGCACTGCCTCTGCCTCCGTGAAGAGGAACCTGGGTCTGGGGCATCAGCTGCTTGCTCTGCCTCCTCCAGCCAATCCTGCAGCCTTCAGACTGACAGGCACTCCAGCCACAATGGGTCTCAGCTCCTCAAACACCCAGGCACCGCCACTGCTTAAATCCAGTGTCAACCCCCACCCACCCCACTGCCGTCCAGGCCCTGATCTGGGCTTTGTCAGAGCATGGGGTGACGGCCTGTTTCTACTGCCGTTTCTACTGTTTCTACTGCCTGTTTCTACACGTTCTCGTGTGTCTCCTGGTCTCAGTTCCCCACCTGGGCCCTAAGCTTGCTGCGGGTAGGGTGGGGCCATGACCTGCACATCCCCGTGTTGCCCTGCGAGCCCGGGTGCATGGCCCCGCTGCAGGAGGAAGCCCGTGACGGGCAGATCCCTGGCCTGCACTTGCTCACTGCATCCAGGCTCTGGCTCCACTGCTCACGAGCCGCATAATCTTGGCCAAGCTAAAACTTATCTAAGCCTTAGTTTCCACACCTAAAAAAGGGGAATTATAATTCATGTTCTGCCAAACACACATAAAAAGATTCTGAAAACCTAAAAAGCAGCTAAGTTTTCGTTATCATTTCATAATAGGGAAAACAAGGATTGTAGGCCCGGTGGAGGTGCAGCCTGGACAGGAACCCAGGCCTGCTGGCCCCTCAGCTGCGGTGGACCCGATGGACCCTGCTGCCAGCCCTGCCCCTTCCTCAGGTGGGGAGGACTGGAACTTGGGTCTCACCTGAATCTCCTGTGCCCCTCGATTCTTGACAAACTTGTCCATCCTCTGGCGCAGGTCTCCCACAAGGGGCTGGGAGCGCAGGGAGGCCCCAGCCTCCGGCCCTTCCTTCAGCTTCTTCTCCAGCATGGCGAAGCCATCCATCAGCTGGGACAGGACCAGGGCCAGAGGCGCGCTGGGGCTCTGAGGGAAAGGGCCGAGAGGCGAGTGAACGGGGCTGCCCCTGGGGAAGCCGTGCCAGCCCCAAGCGTCACCAGGGCAGGGTGAGGGGCTGTCCTACCCTGGTCAGGAGCACCAGGTTGATGCCCGGCCACAGGGGCAGGCAGTACATGGTGTGGGGCACTAGGGGGCAGTAGCTTTCCTTCACGTTGGCATCCAGGAAGATCCTTCTGGGGCTGGAAGGCGCAGGGCAGTGGGGAACCAGCGTTTGGAGGGTGTCCTCCGCTATCTACAGAGGAAGAAGAGTTGCAGTGAGAGGTGGGATCCCTAAGTCGGACCCACCCATTGCTGCCCTATCTGTGAACCATAAGAAATAAACATTTTTAGCTCTAAGAAACTCCGGTTTTTAAATCCCTGCACTCTGCTGAACCTGTCCTCGCAGCTCCAGTTCCGCTGTTGCCCCTCTCAGCTGCTTCTGGGCCTTTCTGCCCAGAGTCCGGCCCGGATGCCAAGCAGGGCAGTGGGCAGGGGCAGAGGGGCTGGGTGGTGGCACAGAGAGGACCGAGAAGGCAGGGAAACACACTCGTGGATGGGGAGTGCGCATTTTCAACAGACGGAGGTACTAACGTTCAACATTGTATCATTTCAATCATCCTCAGAACATCCCAACAGCCACTCAAATTGGGGAAACTGAGGCATAAAGTGACCAAATGAGCAAGGCTCCAGCCTTACAGACGGATCTGAGTAAGAAAGCCTTTAGTTCTAAAAATTATAGAATTAAGGAAATCACGAGAGATGCCACAAAAATTCCTCTTCAGTATTATATATAACAGCAAACACTGGACACAATGATGCGATTGTCCTGGGCATTTGTTAGATAAATAACATATGCATGTGATGGACTCCCAGATAATCATTACAAACCACACTGTGAGACTGCTTAGGAAACGGAAGAATTTTAAATACAAAAGTATAATGAAGCATGTTAGCATCCAAATCTGATTTTAAAAATACACACATGTACATATGTAGTGTGTGTGTGTGTGTGTGCGTGCGTGTAAAGTCACAGGAAAAAAAACTAGAAAGAAATACCCAAAGATGTTAATCTCATTTTGAGGACAGAATTCAGAGTAATTTTCATTCCGTTTTTTAGAGTTTACTTTTGTATTTCCCAATCTTTCTACAATAAATATACACGCTCACTTAAAAAAAAAATCAAACATTCTATTGGACTTTCACTCCCAAGAACAGTGGAGCTGAGGGACAGCACCTGGGGGAGGGGAGGGGCAAGTTCACCAGCCCTCACAGCCTGTCCCCGGACCCTGCCTCTGCGCTGAGCTCTGGCACCAGGACAGGCACCTGTACTGACCAGCCCTGGGGTGGGCCGGAGGAGGGCTGCCATGGGTAGAGTGACCCTGGAGGCGGAACCCTCAGAGCCCCCAACACTTACTGCGGCATCTCAGATCAGCTGGCGCCCAGGCAGACACCGGAGAAACTCACCTGAAGGGCTTCCATGGGTGGGGTGCCCCCCTCCAGCCAGATGGTGCTACCTGCAGGCCACAGGTAATAACATAACGATATAAGTATCATGAGATATAAGCAACGGCTCAACAGCACGGGGTAGGGGGCCCAGGTGTCCCCCACAACCTCCGCCCTTGGCTGCCAGCTCCACGTAGGGGTGGCAATGTGGCTGGGCAACACCCCTTCATCCCAAGTTGGCAGGCACAAGGTGAACTCTGCAGTACCCGGGCTGAGGTGGCCCAGGCCTGGCAGAGAAGCTGACCCTCCCTTGCTCCCTAATCCCCTCCTTGTTCTGTCCCCTGTATTCCTTCAGACTTCAACCCGCCCCTCAGGAGTCAGCACACACAGTCCACCTTTGCGCACTCATTAGTCAACCAGCAAGCTCTTACTGAGCGCCTACTGTGTGCTGGGAATTGAGGTGGATTTCCTTCCGAATATAGCGCACAAAAACCTACTGAATCCACCATATACCTGAAATATTATGTGTCTGTAATAATACTGTTACCTCTTATATTTCATTGCAAACAACCCTCATTTATAATCATGTTCCTCTGGGGGAAGTGTGTTCCTAGTCTTAAACACCTAATTTACAAACGGATGAGTGCAACCCAAGCCATTTGTAAGTTGTGAGTTCTGTGCACGGTAGAACATTATTTTTTTACAGTTCTGAGGCATAAAAAACCACTGTCGAGAGAGAGGGACTGGGAGGAGGACGGTTATGAATGACGAAGAGGAACTTGGGAGATTACCCAGAAGCACTGCTTCTCAACAGGTCTCAGGCTCACCGAGAGCTCAGGGAATCTGAAGATAGCTAGGAACCCTCACCCCAGGAACTGCACAGGCATAGACGAGTTTGCACACAGTCTCAGGGGGTCCTAGGCTTCTAGCCAGTCCAAGGACCTAAAGTTAAGAGCATCTAACCCAGTAGTTGTCAACCTTGGCTACACATGACAATCATTTGGGGACCTTTACAAAATCCTGACGCCCAGGTCAACTGAGTCAGCATCTCTGGGTATAGGCTCAGCTTGAATGATTGTTAAAGATCCAAAGGTGAGTTCAATATGCAGCCAGGGGGCAAAGCATGCTGTAACCTAAATCTGCGCACAGTAGTGGTTTGCACCTGAGGCACATTGGACTCACCTGGGAAAATTTCCTAGAGGTATTCACACCTGGGTCCCAGGCCCACAGACTGTAACTTAATTGGGCTGGTTGAAGCTGCCCGGTGATTCCAATGTACCAGGGTTGGGAGCCACTGGTTAAAAGAAGCCACATAATAAATTCCTTTCAAATCCTAGTCCCCAACAAGTTTCTCCTCCTGAAACCCTGGCCGCCTTTCTTCCATCAGATGATGTGGATGGACCACAGGATCCTTTTTTTTTTTACCTAAGAACTTCAGAAATAAATATAATGCTCATTCATAGTGACCACAACAATCTGGATTTTGGTTTATCTACTTCTCTAAGCAAGGTTGTCTATTTTTTTGTAACATTTTGAATATTTGTAGTTTTGTTTTTTTTTTTTTTTTTTTTTTTTTGAGACCGAGTCTTGCTCTGTCGCCCAGGCTGGAGTGCAGTGGCATGATCTCGGCTCACCACAACCTCCACCTCCCGGGTTCAAGTGATTCTCCTGCCTCAGCCTCCTGAATAGCTGGGATTACAGGCACCTGTCACTGTGCCTGGCTAATTTTTGTACTTTTAGTAGACACGGGGTTTCGCCATGTGGGCCAGGCTGGTCTGGAACTCCTGACCGCAAGTGATCTACCCGCCTTGGCCTCCCAAAGTGCTGGGATTACAGGCGTGAGCCACCACACCTGACCCATTTTGAATATTTATAGTTTTTTTTATTGTTTACCCACATACTTTGGAGAAACAGGTAAAGTATAAACTACAGAGGCTGAATATTTATATTTTAGAATGTATTGAAATGAGGTGATTATTACTTAATTTAACTTAATTTTTAATTACAAAAAAGAAAGATGAGTCTGAGAATGCATGTGCAAAAGTTTTAAACGATGACAATCAACTTGTCATCAACAGCATTAGGGATCAGTGGAGTGGTCTTAACAGTCCTTGAGTTCAGGCTGGAGCTGGCAGGGAAGATGGGGAGCCGCAGACAGCGCCCTGTGTTCTAGGAACACGGGTACCTGCACTCATGTCTTAGGAGACACGGGGTCCACTGAAGCCTAAGACAAACGTCCTGGGCTGCTGATTGCTACTGCCGCAGGCAGCTAGCTATTGTTTCCTCCTGCTTTCCTCCAGGCCTCACCTGAGCTCTGATCACCAGGGGAAGGAGCTGGTGTGAAGTACTCCTCAGGGAGGGAGAAGCTGTCTGTCTCCTGGAATGGAGAAGGTGGCTCAGGTTGAGAGGCTCTCCCAGCTGGCTCAACCCTGTCCCTGCTCTCCCGGGAGGGGCAGGAAAGGCCTGGTCGCCTGCAGAGGCCAATCCCCTCCTGCCCCTGACTCCACAAAGTGCACAGCACACACCGTCTCTGCAGAGCTCCCCCTGGTTGGGCCTGTGGAGTGAGGGCTCCACGCCTGCTGCACGGGGATGTTCTGGCTGCTCCGGGCCCTCCGTGGGGAAGGCTGTGCAGGGCAGGGGAGAGGCTGGTTAGCTCCTATCTGACCTGGCTCCCTCCACCCCTTCTGCCTCCCAGCGCTTCACAGAGAAGCCCCCACCCCTCCACCCGTTCCAGGTGCTGTCCTGGGTGTGCGGTCCTCAGACTTCCCAGGGATTTGATTCTAGGCGGTCTGTTCTGTGGAAATTCCAGAAATTCCAACACACTGGTATCCAACCCACCACTTCCCCTGGTGATGAGGTCAACAGCGATGGTGGTGACTAACACTCACTGAGCATTCACTATGCCCCAGGCGGTGCCGGGTTCCGTGGGAACCGCGCCTTTTGTCCCCTCCAAAAACTCCTGAGAGGTAGATGCTTTGTTATTCCCATTGCACAGATAAGGGCATTGAGGCTCTGGGGGTGCAAGTACGAGCTCAGCTCACACAGCCAGGTGGTGAAGCTGGGTTTCAAACCATGGCTGACTTAAAAAATCTGCACTTTGAACCCACTGGACCATGTGCACTCCAGAATTCCCCTTACATCTGAAAGCAGTGGGAAAGAAGTCACGCCCAACCACACACCCAGAATTGTGACTTAGATAACATGGAGTCCCCAGGGGGAGCCCCCCACCACTCTCCAGGCAGGTTTTCTGAACCACCTCCCCAAGGCCTCCCTCTGCCCAGAGAGCTGCCCTGAGACCTGAGTGTCATCCTCCACTGTGTTCTCGCTGGGGTAGAGGTCCTGAACCAGGAGGATGAGGACGAGCAGGTCGGCCGGGCGCAGGGAGCTGGCACTGTGGCTGCAGACATAGGAGCACAGCCACCCATCAGCACGTGCCCAGCAGGAGACGGGGCAGGCAGGTTAAAGGAGTGTGGAGCCTGGCCCCTGCCCTCAAGGAGCAATGTACTTAATCCTTTCTGGAGACGGGCAAGGCACAAACACAATTAATTAACTCATCAAATTTTAAAGTAAAACTTGGTTGTATAGAACAAAGAAAAGAAAATGATTTAGCAGTGGGAAAGCACCAGGGACTAAGAACAACATAAAAGGAAGTTCTAGGTTGAGACTATAAGACAGTTTTCCAGGAAGGAATGACACAGAGAAATGAGTGAGCTGAAAAGGGTTGAAGAATCAAATCTGGGAAGGTTTCAGGCTTCATGGAGGAGGTGATTCTTGGCTGGGCAGGTGGTGCTTTTCAGGCAGAGGGAATAAGGGGAGTGGGGAGGCCAGGGAGACTTTAGCCACCACACGCCGGACCTTGAGCTCACCTAGAGTAGAATGCCAGCAGCTTGGAATGCACGAGCAGGAAGGCATGCAGGGCCTCCTCGCCGCCCCGCTCTGAGCTGGTGTTGACAGCCTGGATGACGTGCCGCTCCAGTGCCTCTATGCACAGCTCACAGAGCTGGGGGTGAATCAGCCGCTCCAGGGCCTGGCCAGGGCAGGCAGGGAGAGAAAGCTGTATCACCAACCACCTTGCTCCACTCCAGGCCCTGGGCTAGTGGGGACATTCACTGTCCACACTGAGCTTGGACTCTGCACCAGATACTTGGAAACAGGGGGACTAAGACCCACCAGGTCCCAGCCTTCCTGAGGCTTACTGTCTGGTCACTAGACTCTAGTGGATGAGGCAAGGCAATATACAAGGAAATAAAGTTAAATGCCATTTGTAAATAAGCACCAAGTACAAAATACACAGCACTGGGCTAGAGAGAAATAGCAGCGACCTCCTTGGGTAGGGTGTCCAAAGAAATGTCCCTGAATTAGGTCACCTTTAAACTAATATCTAAACAACCAGATGGCCCACCAGAGAAAGAGGGAGAGAGAGAACACTGCAAGTCAAGGAAACGGCATATTCAGAGGCTCTGAGGAGGGGAGAGAGTTTGGAATGGTGCTGTCCAACAGAAATAAAAGGTAGGCCCTATGCATAATTTAAATTTTTCCAGTGACCACATTAAAAAAGTAAAAAGAAACAGTTGACATTAATTTTAATGACATATTTCATTTTACTCAATATATCCAAAATACTATCACCACATGATACAAAAGCCTTATTAATGGAATGTTTTACATTCTTTTTTGTGCTAAGTTACCAAAATCTGGAATATATTTCACATGCATAGCGTAACTCAATTTGCACTAGCTGTATTTCAAATGTTCAACAGCCACATGTAGCTAATGACTATCATACTGGACAGATCTAAATACAGAGTTTTCCTGAAACTTAAAGAAGTTTCATGTGACTAGCACTCAGTAAGTGTGGACAAGAGAGGCATGAGATGAAGCTGGAGTGAGATAGGCAGCGATAGATCACACAGGGCCTGGTAGGCTTGGGAAGGAGTTTGGATTTTATACTAATGGCATTAGGTAACCTCCTACAAGAAGTCTTTCCTAATGTCCCAGAAAGAGTTAACCATTCCATCTCTTGTGCCACCATGGCTTTTGATGAAAAACCTAATATGGCACCCAGGATTCTTTATTATATCTTTTAGTATACACATGGCTGATTTCCCCTCAAGGGCAGTGAATGTGTCTTTATTCACCTCTTTATTCCCATGGCCTGGCACACTTCTTAGCATATAATAGGTACTATATGTTTATTGGAAAAGTGAATGAGTGGGGGTGTGAGAATCAATTCCTTCAGATCTATTTTCCAGCTCATTAATTCTCCCTCTAGCTATGTCTCATCTGCTATTTAACACATCCCTTGAGTTTTCATTTTAACAACTACATTTTTATTTCTAAAATATTTGTATGGGTTCTTTTTCAAATTTGTCTGGCCAATTTAGAGTTTCTTCTTATCTCATTTTGTGATTCTACACTTCATATCTTTAAACATTTCATAGTTTTTTTATATTCTATACTTAATAGTTTCAATGCATCAAGTGCCTTGGGATATAAATCTGCTGGTAATTGATTTTCCTGACTCTCCCTCATGGTGGCTTATCTTCTTCTATATCTGATTTTCTTCAGTTGTGAGTTCACATTTGTTTGATTGGTACCTTTCCTGCTTTAGCAGTGGTTTTCAAACTGTGGTTCCTGGACCAGCACAATAAACAAACAGCACCTGGGAATTTTTTAGAAATGCAAGTTCTAGGGCCAGGCATGGTGGCTCACACCTGTAATCCCAGCACTTTGGGAGGCTGAAGTGGGCAGATCATGAGGTCCGGAGTTCCAGACCAGCCTGACCAACATAGTGAAACCCCATCTCTACTAAAAACACAAAAATTAGCCAGGTGTGGTGGCACGTGCCTGTAATCCCAGCTACTCAGGAGGCTAAGGCAGGAGAATCGCTTGAACCTGGGAGGTGGAGGTCACAGTGAGCCAAGATTGCTCCACTGCACTCTACCCTGGGCAACAGATCAGACTCCATCTCAAAAAAAAAAAAAAGAAAAAGAAAAAGAAAAAGAAATGCAAGTTCCAGAGCCCCCATCCCAGACTTGCTAAATGAGAAATGCTGAAAGTGAGGCCCAGTAACCTGTATTTGACAAGCCCTGCAGAGGATTCTGACACACGCTGGAGTATGAAAACCACTGCCTGCAAGAGAATTTGGTTTACCTCTTTAGGAAGCCAAGGAGTGCTACTGACCAGCAGCCACTTTAGTTTTTATTTTTAATTTTTTAGTTTTTTATTTACTAGGCTTTATAAAAGCACCAGTAGCCACTTTAACTTTTTGGGGCTGGGCTTAACCTAGAGTTGCAGGCTCAGCTCTCCTACGCTGCTGCTGGCCCAAGGCTGTTTACTGGCTGTAGTGCTGATATCATTTGCACTCAGGGCAATCTTGCCTTTAGTGCTGTGTTTTTCTCCACTGCTTTCCCCTCCAGTTCCAGCTCAATATAACTTTGTGGGAGGAGGAGGGAACGGTTGAAGGAACTGTCTTCAAAGATTTCTGTAATTTACAGTGAACCCAAAAATTACATTAAAAGTCTGTATTATTCAGGATCGAGCTGTTTTACCATGGGAAAGCCCATCAGAGTACACAACCCTCCATATGGCCACAAAGAACAACTCTCTCTGAATACATGAGTTTCAGGGGCTGCCTGTGCCTTCACTCATTAGGGTTAAAACATGGTCTTAGAGCTGGATGCCCCCTCTGACCTGACAGCTCCAAGTCCTGAGGACTCCCGCGCCCAGTAGTCACCTCAACGGCGAAGCACTGCTCCTGCTCCCGCAGGCGGCTGTAGGTCCACAGCAGGCTCTGGAAGTGCTCCCACAGCTGGACACGCTGCCCCAGGTCTGGGGGCCGCAGCCTGGGGGCAGAGCCAGAGAGGGCGGGCGAGATCACGAGAAAGCTGGTCTCCCCCACACCCAACCGAAGGGCCACAGTCCCAGCTCAGCATCAGAGCCTGGTGAGCCCGCGTGACCTGCCCACACAGCTGGGAAAGGGGGCCAGGCTTCTGGCTGAGCTCTAGCTGTGGAGTGGGGTGGGATAGGCACGGAGCCAGAAGGCAGGCAGCTAAGCAAATCACCTCACTCCTCAACCTCTGTCACACAAACACATGTCATACAAAGCCAGCTAGAGAGAGCCAGGGTGATGCTTAAGCTTCTCACACAGAGGCCACTGAACACAGACAGGTCTGGTCCATCATCAGGGTCCTACACAGGGTCGCAGCCATCTCGGATGCTGGCAAGGTCTGCACTAGCCAATGTGGTTCATGTAACAGGCATCCACCACCTGTAGTATTTGCCACTGAAACCATGACCTATCTGGGCTACAATGACTCATGAAACAATGTTTGTGCATTTGAGAAATGCCTCGATATGGGTAGTTGCTCACATTGATACAAAACTCTAAAGTCCCAGAGTTTCATGCTCTGCAGCTTCCCAATCCATCTTAGAGAATCAAGGGGTGGTGATACCATGAACTTCTCTTTTCTAGGTCTACATTTCAACTATAAGCCTTTTCTGGGGTCCCTCCCACCTCAGTGTATACTTTGAACCATCATTCCCTTTCCCCAAGTTCTTTACTGTGGGCCCAGAGACAGGTTTTAGGGTCTGTCTCCTGAGAAAACCTTCACGAGACTGTATGAGTGTGCACGGGCTTGTGTTTTTCTGGAGAGGCAGTCTGAAGCTTGAGAAGCCAGAGAGGACTAGCTCAGACCAGATTTGTAATGCTGGGCGACGATGTTGGGAGAATGGAAAGAGCACTGGACTGAGAGTCTTGAGCTCAGATTTCCAGTTTGGATGTGGCCAACCACCAGCTGGATGACCCCAGGCAAGTGAGTTCCATTCCCTGCTCTGTTTCACCAGATACAAAGTCAGAGGGTCGGACCAGATGATCTCCAAGGTTCATTTGAGCTCTGTTTGTCTGAACTAGGGACCCAGCTGGGGGCAGTGGGTGAAAAATGGCAGCTTCACAGGGGCTGGGCACACATTGCCTGGTCCAGCGAGGGTGCTCGGCAAAGGACAGAGGGGACCAGCTTTGAGGACTCACTCCTTTCGGATAAGCTGACCGTCCACAGTCACCAGCCCGAAGTGCACTTCGAACAGGTACTTGAGCACGTATAGCTTCCGCCGCAGGTCGCCCTCGCTCTCAGTGTGGTCGCCATTGATGGCAATGAACAGGCATTCTCCAAACTGCAGGCACAGGCAGGCCAGTGTCAGCCAGCCCCCAGGCACTCCCTTCACCTGCCCTAGTCTCTGCGGACAAGCCAGGGAAGGCTTGGGTGCCAGGGGGTTTGATAAGATACCGTTTCTGCCTTCTAAAGGAGTCTAAAGCTCCAGATAAGAGAGGCCTGTGGACTCCCCATCGAGCGGAGGGAAGAGGAACATGGGCCCCAGAGCTACAGACTCACCAGGTGAAGGACATACAGGGAGTTGCCGTTTTCTGTGGAGAAGCAGGTGTAGGTGTCTGAGAGCTTCTCCAGCATCGTCATGGAGGAGATGATGACCGGGGCTAGGAGGGTGCTGAGCTGGTCCTCCAGGGCAGGGAGCTACAAAAATGGGGGAAAATATCACTGCTTAGAGTGGGCCAGACAACAAGAACAAAGGAAAGGACAAGACAAGGCCTTGATATCAAGGGTTCCATAGTGTTAGACCCTCCTGGGAGGGTATCACTGTCCTGGTAGGGAGGGGGGCAAAAAGAGACTGCCCCCAACACTTTGGGTAGTGGTTAGGAAGAATGGGGAGGGCCAGCTGGGTAATGGTGCTGTTTAGGCTCTGAATCCGGAAAGAAACATTAAGGAATTGGGCCTCATTACAATAGTGGAATGTGGGGAGCACTGAACGGGGAGCTGGAAGGAAGTTTGCAGCATGTACCAAAGTCTATGCTGTTTTTTGCAATAAGTTTACTTTGGAAAATTTGTCCTAAGGAAAATGATCAGAGATTAGGACAAAGACACATGCACAAAGATGTTCACTACTGCATAATTTATAATAGCAAACAACTGGAAAAAAAATATAAACATCCAGGATCAGGGAAATAGTTAAATAAATAGCAGTACATCAAAATTATGGAAAAGTCTATAGCCACTTAAAATATTAGAGCGTTTCCCACATGTTCTCACTCATAGGTGGGAACTGAACAATGAGAACACTTGGACACAGGAAGGGGACCATCACACACCGGGGCCTGTTGTGGGGTGGGGGGAGGGATAGCATTAGGAGATATACCTAATGTAAATGATGAGTCAATGGGTGTAGCACAGCAACATAGCACATGTATACATATGTAACAAACCTACACTTTGTGCACATGTACCCTAGAACTTAAAGTAAAATATACACACACACACACACACACATATATATATATATGAGTGTTTCAATGACATGGAAAATTCCTCTGACACAATGTTGTAGTTAAAAATAAAACAAGAATGTGAATGCATAGAAAAAACGAAGTATTGATAAAATACTGAGAAAGCCATTTTATTAAAGTTACTTCTGGATAGAGGAATTAGGAGTGATTTTTTTCCCTCTATTTTTAAGTATATTTCTGTACTTTCCCTATTTTCCATAACAAGTCTGCATTGACTTTGATAAGTTCTTCCTCCATCCATTCTCTCAGCTGGCCGAAACAAGGAACAAAACAAATAAATAAGAACAAAAAGGAACTGGACAAGTTTGTTGCAAATGTGTGAATAAAATGGGATAAAGCCAGTGGAACAGTTACAAATCAAATTCTCCACAGTGGAAAAAAAAGAAAGGAAGAAAACAGCAGATTTCCCAAGAGGATTTCAGGAGACGTGAATGAAATATGAGGGAGGCACAGCACTAACTTGGAGCTAGGGAAATCTACAAGGAGCTGAGTAAGACCTTGTCTTGAAAAGACGGGCAACTGGCCAGCGGGAAGGTGCAGCATTGAAGTACAAGCGGGACACAGCACTATGGAGTAAGTTTTCCTGCCAACATTCAGGAACCAAGGACTGTGCCCAGCTCCCACAGTCTGTCTGTCAAGCTTTCACAGTGGCTCCTACTCATCGTTCTGGCTCCAGCTCAGATTGTTTTTTTTTCTGGCCACCTCAGGCCACCAACCCCTGCCTCTGTCACTCCCCATCCCGTACCCCATTTAACTTCTCCAGACTATTTGTCACCACCTGAACTCATGGTACTTATTTGCCATCTGGTTCACTGTACAACGTCCTTCTTTAGACTCTAAGTTCCATGAAAGCAGGGATCATGTTGCTATGTTCACTGCTTTACCCCAAGAGACTGGCACATGATAGGTTCTCAGTTAATATTTGGTTAATGAATACCCCCACAGATAGGCAAGAATTCAATAAACAGGCAAGAATTCAATAAACAGGCAAGAATTCAAATATTTGCTGAATTATTCATATACCACGATTTTCTTGAACAAATTTTATTAATACAGAAGTCACTTATGAATCTAGATTTTGATAGAAACTCATCTTAAAAGCAGTATAGTCACGTACTGAAGAGCAATGTTTTGGTCAGCAACAGACCACGCACGATAGTGGCCCCATAACATTACACAAAGATTTTTGCTATACCTTCTCTATGTTCATTCAGATACGCAAACATTTACCGTTGTGTTACAACTGTCTGCAGTATTCAGTACAGTCACATGCTGTACAGGTTTGCAGCCTAGAAGCAACAGGCCATACTGTAGAGCCTAGGTGTGTAGTCGGCTACACCATCTAGGTTTGTGTAAGTACACACTCTGATGTTCACATGACAAGGAAATCACCTAATGATGAATTTGTTATTAATAGAATGTATCACCATCATTAAGCAAGGCATGACTGTAGCTTTTTCTGCAGGAATAGAACTTTTTTTTGGTGAGGGGATGACATGGTCAGGCTTTGTGTCCCCACGAAATCTCATCTTGACTTGTAATCCCCATAATCCCCACGTGTCAAGGGAGACCAGGTGGAGATAACTGAATCATGGCGTGGTTTTCCCCAGGCTGTTCTCAACTCGTTCTCATGAGAATGAGTGAGTTCTCATGACATCCGATGGTTTTATAAGGGGCTCTTCCCCACTTTGCTTGACACTTCTTCCTGCCGCCTTGGGAAGAAGGTGCCTTGTTTCCTCTTTGCCTTCCACCATGAATGTAAGTTTCCTGAGTTCTCCCCAGCCATGCTGAACTGTGAGTCAATTAAACCTCTTTATAATTACCCAGTCTCAGGCAGTTCTTTATAGTGGTATGAAAACGGACTGACACAGTAAATTGGTACTGCAGGTGTGAGGTGCTACTATACAGATACCCGAAAATGTGAAAGTGACTTTGGAACCGCATAACAGGCAGAGGTTGGAACAGTATGGAGGGCTCAGAAGAAAACAGGAAGATGTGGGAAAGTTTGGAACTTCCCAGAGACTTGTTGAATGCTTTTGAACAAAATTCTGATAGTGATATGGACAATGAAGTCCATATCATTGGTGGTCTCAGATGGCAATGAGGAACTTATTTGGAACTGGAACAAAGGTGACTTTTGTTATGCTTTAGCAAAGAGACTGGAAGCATTTTGCTCCTGCCCTAGAGATCTATGCAACTTTGAACTTGAGAGAGATGATTTAGGGTATCTGGTGGAAGAAATTTCTAAGTAGCAAAGCATTCAGGAAGTGACTCGGGTGCTCTTAAAAACACTCAGCTTTATGCATTCACTAATAGATGGTTTGGATTGGGACTTACCTTTAAAAGGGAAGCAGAACATAAAAGTTTGGAAAATTTGCAACCTGATGATGCAATAGAAAAGAAAAGCCCATTTTCTGAGGAGAAATTCAAGCCTTGGCTGCAGAAATTTGCAAAAGTAATGAAGAGCCAAACGTTAATCACCAAGACAATGGGAAAAATGTCTCCAGGGCATGTCAGAGGTCTTCACAGCAGCCCCACTTGCCACAGGCCTGGAGGCCTAGGAAGGAAAAACTGTTTCAGGGGTTGGGCCCAGGGCCTTGCTGCTTTGTGCAGTCTGGGGGCATGGTGCCCTGCATCCTAGCCATGGCTAAAAGGTGCCAACATACAGCTCTGGCTGTTGTTTCAGAGAGTGCAAGCCCCAAGCTTTGGTGGCTTACATGTGGTGTTGGGCCTGTGGGTGCACATAAATCAAAAATTGAGGTTAGGGAACCTCCACCTAGATTTCAGAGGATGTATGGAAATGCCAGGATGTCCAGGCAGAAGTTTGCTGCAGGGGCAGAGCCCTCATGGAGAACCTCTGCTAGAGTGGTGAATAAGGGAATTGTGGGGTCAGATGCCTCCACACAGAGTCCCCATTGGGGCACTGCATAGTGGAGCTGTGAGAATAGGGCCACCATCCTTTAGCCCCCAGAATGGTAGATACACCGACAGCCTGCACCATGCACCTGGAAAAGCTGCAGATACTCAACATCAGCCTGTGAAAACAGCTGGGAAGAGGACTGTACCCTGCAAAAGCACAGGGGTAGAGTTGCCCAAGGCCTTGGGAGCACCTCTTGTATCAGTGTGACCTGGATGTGAGACGTAGAGTCAAAGGAGATCATTTCAAAGCTTTAAGATTTGACTGCCCCACTGGATTTCGGACTTGCACGGGGCCTGTAGCCCCTTAGTTTCATCCAATTTCTCCCATTTGGAATGGGAACATTTACCCAATGCCTATACCTCCATTGTGTCTGGAAAGTAACTTGTTTTTTATTTTACAGGGTCATAGGTGGAAGGGACTTGCCTTGTCTCAGGTGAGACTTTGGTCTTGGACATTTTGGTTAATGCTGGAATGAATTAAGACTTTGGGGAACTGTTGGGAAGGCATGATTGGTTTTTAAATGTGAAAGGGACATGAGATTTGGGAGAGGCCTGGGCAGAATGATATGATTAGGCTTTGTGTCCCCATCCAAATCTCATCTTGAATTGCAATCCCCATAATTCCCATACTCCTCATATGTCAACAGAGAAACCAGGTGGAGGTAAATGAATCATGTGGGCAGGTTCCCCCATGCTGTTCTTGTGATACTGAGTTCTCATGAGATCTAATGGTTTTATAAGAGGCTCTTTCCCCTTCACTCAGCACTTCTCCTTCCTGCTGCCTTGTGAAGAAGGTGTCTTGCTTCCCTTCGCCTTATGACATGATTGTAAGTTTCCTGATGCCTCCACAGCCGTGCTCAACTGTGAGTCAATTAAACTTCTTTCCTTTACAAAGTACCCAGTCTTGGGCATTTCTTTATAGTGGTATGAAAATGACAAGTATTTCTGAGTTGTAATGTTAAAGTGTTAAACTGGATGTCCACATGCAAAAAAAAAAAACACAGGGGAGATAAAAATGTTTGGTGTATATAGACTATAAAGGAGCATACTCATATATTACTTGGTGGAATTATAAAGTAGTACAATGTCTTTGAATGGCTTTTGACTCAATATTTTTATTTTTAGGAATTTATCCTAAGGAAATAATCTGACATGAGATAAAGTTTAAGCACAAATGTTCCTTAAAGCAAGAGTGATATAGCAAATTAGGAGCAATATATATGTTCATATGAGGAAAATAGTTAAATAAAGGATGATACACTGATTCATGTACTGGAGTATAATGTTTCCATTAAGAATTATGCTTCTGAGACTATTTAAGAAAAGAGAAGAAATATCTTGATATAATGGCAAGTGAAAAAAAAAAAAACAGGCAGTAAAACTGTAAATGTGGTATAATCCCAATTATATAGAAAAAATAAAGACCCAAAGAAAGTATATTACAAAGCTAATAGCTCTGGGTAGTGGAATTACAGGTCATTTAAAAACTATCTCTTTGTATTTCCAAATTTCCTACAATTAACTCATGTTATTTATATGACAAGAAAAGAATGTGTTGCACATTAACAACAACAACAAAAAACTTTAAAGACCACCTTTCCTTTACACTACTCATTTTTAGGAACTGAAAATTCAGTTCATTCCTTTGCCAGGTTTTCAATAAAGAGGAAGAGAAAGGCCACCAAATAGCTTGCTTCTTAAGCTGACATAGTTGTAACAGTAGTTTAAAAACGGAAATACTTAAAAAGTCTTAATTTAAATATTGTATGTATTGACTGTTAAAAAATAAAGTCTAACAGTTAGCTTAAATAAAACCACTTGAATGTCTATGATCTCTGATATCTTGTGTTTGCCTAAAGACTGTGATGAGAACATGGGTGACATTGATGGTAAATGGACCCCCTGAAGTGGAGTTGGCTCACTCATTGGCTGGATGATGAGACCCCTTAGAGCAGAAAGGGCAAGATAGGCAACCAGTCCATGCTGCTGCAGAAACGTAAGAACACCTTCCACTGCATCCCCAGTAAAAAACATTTTTAACCCAAAATCAATTGGGAAAACATTTTCAAAATAAATTGCTCCTTTAAAATATACAGTAGAAATTATGTAAGTGAAAATGACAAGTATTTCTGAGTTGTAACGTTAAAGTATTAAACTGGATGTCCACATGCAAAAAAAAAAAAAAAATTAACTTCAATCCATAGCTCGCACCACACACAAAAATTCAAAGTAGATCATCAGACCTGATATAAAACCTAAAACTATAAAACTTTCAAAAGAATATGTAGAGAAAACTCTTTGTGAGTTGGGCAAAGATTTCTTAGATGTAACACTAAAAGCATAATCCATAAATGCAAAATGGACAAACTCGAGTTCTAATACTTCTGCTCTTTGAAAGATACCATTGAGAATATAAACACAAGCCACAAACTGGAAGAAAGTATTTGCAAAACATGTATCTGATAAAGGACTTCATCCAAAATATATCACAAGCTCTCAAAACTCAGTAAGAATAGTAAGAAGAAACAATCAACTCAAATAAAAACTGGGCAAAAGATATGGCAAATAAGCACATGAAAAGACGCTCAAAATCATTAGTCATTAAGGAAATGAAATTTAAAACACAGTGAGATTCCAGTGGACATCTATTAGAATGGCTACAATTAAAAAGACGGACCATAGTGTTGGTGAGGATATGGAGGAACTGAACTCTCAAACACTACAGCTGGAATAAAAAATTATACAACCACTTTGGAAAAGTTTGGCAGTTTATTAAAAAGTTACACATGCACGTACATGATCTAGCCATTCTACCCTAAGTATCTGTCCTTGGACGTGAAAGCATCCATGTATACATGGACTTGTACGTGCATGTTCATAGTTGCTTTACTTGTAATAGTCAAAAACTGAAAATTACACAGATGTCCATCAACAAGTAAATGAATGAACAAATGGTGGCATCCTGATACAATAGATTACTGCTCAATGAAAAGGAATGAACTATTGATACACGCCACAACACAGATGAATCACAAAATAATCATGCTGAGTGAAAGCAGTCAAACCAAAACCAAACTAAATCCAAGCACATACTGTATGGCTCCATTTATATAAGCCCATATAATACAAACTAACCTATCGTGACAGAAAGCAGATCAGCAGTTCCTACAGGATGGGGATGGGAAAGAAAGGATTACAAATGTTTGAGGTGGTAGATATATTCCTTTTATTGATTGTGATAGAATCATAGGTATATATACATATCAAAGCTTATCAAGTTGTATACTTTAAATATGTGCAATTTATGGTATGTTAATCATACCTTAATACAGCTATTTAAAAATTAATGTGTTCAGCTTACATTAAACTTTTTCATTTTTTTTTTTGCTCTGTCGCCCAGGTTGGAATGCACAGGCACAATCTTGGCTCACTGCAACCTCTACCATCTGGACTCAAGTGATCCTCCCACCTCAACCTCCCAAGTAGCTGGGACCACACCTGGCTAACTTTTGTGGGTTTTTTTTTGTAGAGACAGGGTTTCGCCATGCTGCCCGGGCTGGTCTCAAACTCCTGAGCTCAAGCAATTGACCCACCTTGGCTTCCCAAAGTGTTGTGATTACAGGCGTGAGCCACCATGCCCAGCCTTGTTAAACTTTTTAGGGTACAGAAACTGATGGCTCCAAGTTCCTCTGTTATGTGATTCAAATTCGACATCTTCTTGCCCTCACTTAGCCCGGAGAGCCCTGGTGGGGTGTGGGGGTGGGGTCATTGAGCTCAGAGCATCAAGAGGCAGACCTTGAGGATGAGGGTCTAGCTGTGAAGGATGCTGGACCCCACACAACACGCTGCTCATGCTGCCCAGGACAGGGTGAACACAGGTTTTCCTGCCTCTCTGCCTGCTGGTAGTTTTGTATGGTTCCTTCCTATCCACCCCTCCTGGGACTGCCTACCCTGCACTCACCTCTTCTTCCTCATTCTCTGACTGCCCGAACTTCAGCCGGAGACTCTCTTCAAACTCGTCATCTGTCCAGTAGAAGAGGACCTCTGCACCCTCAGTGGCCACCAAGACGCACTTCATCTGCCAGGGAAAGGCAAGGTCAAGGTCAGCCCCTAGCCCCAACATCCATGAGCACAGCCTGAGTAATGAAGAGGACCCCAACCCCAGCAAACATTCAGTGAGCCCTTTCTGCACACCAGACATCACAAAGGCCTTCCATTTTTGTTGCACCCTCACAACTGGACAAAGTAGGACTCTTTAGGTACTCCCATTTTAGAGAGCAGGACACAGGCACAGCCTGAAGTGGCAAAGCTGGAATCCAGACCTAAATCTGTTTGATGCCAAGGCTGGGGCTCTTTCCTCTGTGGTATCTAGTCCCTCTCAGCACAGCATCAGACCCACCACAGGGCCTACCGGAACCAGACTGGAACAGGAAGGGACCCGGGTCTTGGCCTGGACATGGAGCCGAATGCCCAGGGAGGCCATGCGCACAGCAGACAGTTAGTGCCTGGTGTGGATTGGAGGGCGCTGCTGCACCTCCATCTCTGCGCAGTCCAGAGATATCTCTCCCTCAGATAAAAACAGTTCCAGGGCCAGGGGCGGTGGCTCACGCCTGTAATCCCAGCACTTTGGGAGGCTGAGGCGGGTGGATCACCTGAAGTCAGGAGTTTGAGACCAGCCTGGCCAACATGGTGAAACCCCGTCTCTACTAAAAATACAAAACTTAGCCAGGTGTGGTGGCGGGCGCCTGTAATCCCAGCTACTCGGGAGGCTGAGGCAGGAGAATTGCTTGAACCTGGGAGGCAGAGGTTGCAGTGAGCCGAGATTGTGCCACCGCACTCCAGCCTGGGGGGCAGAGAGAGACTCTGTCTGAAGAAGCAAATAAACAAGCAAAAAACAGCTCCAGAAGACGAGCCTCAAAGGCCCTGAATTTATTTCAGCACCACAGAATTTCATTCAAATGCTGCTCTCCCTGCTCATGGTGAGAACAGAGGCTGCCTAAAGACCCTGTACCTAGTAGGCTGCAGCTTCTAGGGCCACAGCTACCAGTGTCTTCAGCCCTCCCAAATCTCCTCCCCCACCCCTGCCACACACACCACACACTCTGTGCTTGATTGTGTAAGGAACGTCTTAACTCTTCACCCACTGGAAGATCTTTCATACAGCTCCCCACACTGTGTGCCGCGGCCCTCTGGGTGCGGCAAGCGCTGATCTTCTAACTCTTGGGGCAGCCTGACCAGGCTGGTGAGGACAGCGCTCCAGGCTGCCTGTTGCAGCTGAGAGGCCTCAGGCAGTGGTTTCAAATCCTCTTATGTGCCTCAGGGTGTCATGCAGATATAATCATGTGGTATGTGTGCTAAGCCATAACAATGATTAGGAAGCTCTGCTGTAACTCTCACACATGCAGATTTCCAGTTTTTTTGGGAGGATCATAGCATCTCCAGGTCTTGTGTTCTGTCATCCCCAGGTCCAGCTTAGTGGTCCTTACTGAATTCCTCCCAAACTAACTCGGTGCAACTGGTCCCAAGGTGTTTATGGTGAATGCCAGGAGACAACAGCACAGTGAAGGAGGAATGCAGGCTATTCCCACAGAATTACTCAATGCCAAGGCAGACACTGACAGTGCAACAGGTGTGAAGAGGAGGTTGCTGGGAGAGGCAGGTGGACCTGAAGAGGCTTCTCTGGGACTCCCAGGTACATGTGACAAAGCTGACCAGAGTGTATGGGTTAGGGAGCAGTGGGCTATGGAATGGAGGCTGTGGTTGTGAGCAGAGAAGTGACCGGCTGGCTGGAGATGGGCAGGTTGAGGTCATGAAGGCGGTCATCTAGGTGCAGGTGTCGGGTAATGAGTGCTCACCCCTTGGTGGGGGCCGGAGGAGCTTTAAAGACTCAGCAGGCTGTGATGACCCACCTGGATGCGAGGGGTGAAGGAGAGATGAGGCATCAGGATGGGGGTGACCTCAGGATGCAGGGCTGGGGAGGGGATGAGCAGGTCTGCAGAGCTCAGGAGCACTCAGTCCACTGCCTACCTCATTCCATCTGCCTCCCAGTGCCCCAGGGTGGATGCTGCCTGCCTCCCTGTCCTCCCCAGGTGGGGCAAAATCATCTACCTTGGCAAGGAGCACAGTGGAGCATCCAGACAGTCAGAGGTTCAGAAAGGGCTGCAGCAGAGACTTGGGGACTGGTTCCCAGCAGCACAGCATCCCTGGTCCTGCAAATGCTTAAAACAGAGAGAACATGAGGGCAGACAAATGCCCTGGTCCTGACTGCTGCCCGTTGGGAAAGGACAAGCTGGAGAAGGGCTGCGTGGTCCCTGGTCTCTCCAGGCCCTGAGGCAGTCTGCTAAGAACATATCCGGGATCCTGCCCCTCACCTCCCATAATGGAGAATAGGAACCCCGCCAGCACAGCCCTTTGTACAGAGCAGGTGCCCACTTTTGTTCCTTCCTCCTTTGTTCCTACGAAGCGCTCTCACTTCTGTGGGTCACTCAGAGCTCCCCAAGCAGCCCCAGGGAGCTCGCTAGGAGTGACTGACCGGAGACAGCATAGCACACCCCAGGCGGCGAGGATGCAGTCCCAGTGAAGGGAGTGGGGATCCTGGGGTGATGCGATGAGTGGAAGGAAACAAACAGGAAAGGCATCTGGGACCAGGTTCTAGTTTTGGCTTTGCCAAGTCGCATAAACCTCTTTGAGCCTCAAACTCCCACGGAGAAATAGAGCAACATCCCCTACTCTACCTCCCTACAGGGTTAGATCACGGGAGTGACCAGGCAAGCTGCAAAGTAACCTTAGCAAACTGCTTTCTTATATAGGTGTGGGGATCATTACTCCTATTTCCCAGCTTCCCTTCTTCAAATAACAGGATTAACCAATCTGGTTCCAGAATCTTTCATATTTGGATAGAAGGCAGGAACAACAGAAAACTTAATTAGGAAGTCAAGCACTGTGAGCGAGTAAGAGGCAAGTGACTACCCGCCACAGAGACTGCTGTTAGGAGTTCGGCCTTTAGCAACCTAATCCTGAGACGGGCTCCATCACCCACATGATTGGCCCGAATGCCACATTCCCGAAACAGGGGGATGCTTCCCAAAGGCTGCTGGGAAGAGAACCTCGCCGGTGAAACGTTGTGACTTCGGCTTCACCTTGCTATTTTGCCCTAGAAAGGGAACTCGGAGGGGACTCACTGGCGAAGGGTGCTCCAGATGGCGGGGGGAGGGCCAAGCTGGGGCGACCCCCAGAGCGCACTTTCACCATCTGGACTCCAGCAAACCTCCCTGTAGCCCTTGGTCCCGCCTTCAGCAGCTCCTTCTGGGGTCCCACACCTTCGGAGCCCGGCCCTGTCCCCGAGTCTCTGCAGAGAGCGAGTCAGCGGCTCCCGTTTGCCTAGCACGCCAGTTTCTGTCCAGTTTTACCCCCAAATCCCCACCTCTCCCCACCCCTGAACCTCACGGCCATCCTGGGAAGGAGGCTTGACTTGTGACATCCGCCCCTATTCACGGCTGAGGAACTTTGGCTCCGAGCGAGGAAGCGACCTGCCCACGACCACACGCCCGCAGTGGGGGAGGCTAGGGGTGGGCCCGCTCCGGGACCCCTAGAGCCCCTCCCCCACTTCCGGGAGGGTTGCGAGGGGCTCTGAGGAAGGATCGCCGCCCCGGGAGGGGACTGCCCGGAGACCCACGTACCGGATCGCGGCGCGCACAGCGCCCCGCCTGCAGGAGCCCGGGCGCGCTTCCGGGTAGGACCGCGTGATCGCGCACGTGACCGCCCCGCCCCGGGAGGGGCCGGAGCCGCCGTCGCTTTCCGCAGGTTCGAGCCCCGCCCCTGCCAGGCCTTGCCCATGCCCCGTTTTACAGAAGAGGAAACGGAGGCTCAGAGAGAAAAAATAACTTGCTGAGGGGCCGAACCAGGCTCAGAACCCAGGTTTCCTGGCTCCTCAGCTGATTCCTTCTCTCCTCCTCTTGCCCGGAACCCCAGGCTTTGCTTAATGAACTGAAGTTCTGGGGTTAGAGCTGTCCTTTTGTGACTGCTCTTCCTGACCTTTGGGGAGGTGACACAGCGCACAGAAGGGCTCAGTTGCCCCCAGAGTCCCAACGCTGGAATTTCTTTATAGAAGTTTTCAATCTATTTTGGGAGCAGAGTGCACATTAGGAGTTTCGTGTTGAACCTATGTTTGCAAGATTAATTTTAAAAAATGATATGTATATTGGGGGTGGCTGGAAGTGGAGGGGGCATTCTGTTAATAATGGAAGGGGCTAAATTCCCGAACAATCCACCCCTCAGTGCCTGGGTGCCACCTAGGAGCTCTGAGCCCAGCCCAGCGGGGTATGGGTTGTAGGAACTGGCTGGGGATATAGTAGATTGAGCATCCCTTGGGGGAAAGGCAGAGGCTAAGAATCAATACCTCCACCACCTGCAGATCAAAGAGAGCATCACTCCCCACAACCCACTACCCACCCCTTCCAGCCCACCTTAGGGCAAATTCTTCCAACTCCCCATCCACAGCACATAGCCCTGCGGCAGGCATCTCTCTCCCCAGCCCACCATTGAGATCCTTCACTCAATATGCTTTCAGTGGTTGAATGAATTCCATTAAATGGATATGCTATTATTTACTTATTCATTCCCCTACTGGTAGTTTCCATTTCCCAACAGCAATGTGTGAGGATTCTGATTTCTCCACATCCTCATCAATGCTTGTTATTGTTAATTTTCTTTTTAAGTATAGTAACCCAGTGTGGAGTAGTATCTTGTGATTTTCATTTGCACTTCCCTGACGTTCAGCATCTTTTCATGTGCTTTTTGCCCATTTGTGTACCTTCTTTGGAGAAATGTCTATTCAAATCCCTTATGCATTTTTAAATTGTCTTTATTATTGAGTTGTAAAAGTTCTTTATATGCTCTGGATACAAGCCCCTTATCAGATACATGATTTGCAAAAAAAATTTTTTTTCCCATTATGTGGCCTGTCTTTTCACTTTCTTAGTGGTATCATTTGTAGCACCAAAGTTTTAAATTTTTATGTAATCCAGTATAATCTATTTTTTAGTTATGTGCAGGCTTTTTGTGTCAATATGTTTCTTTTTTTTTCAAATTTGTTTGTGGTAAAATACATATAATGTAAAATTGATCATTAAGCATTTTAAGTGTACTGTTCAGTAGTATTAACTGCATTCCTAATGCTGTGCAGCCATCACCGCCATCCATCTCCACAGCTCTTTTCATCTTTTAAAACTGAAACTATATCCAGTAAGCAATAATTCTGACCAGGCGCGGTGGCTCATGCCTGTAATCTCAACACTTCGGGAGGCTGAGGCGGGTGGATCACGAAGTCAGGAGTTCAAGACCAGCCTGGCCAACATGGTGAAACCCCATCTCTACTAAAAATACAAAATTAGCAGGGTGTGGTGGCACACAGCTGTAGTCCCAGCAACTTAGGAGGCTGAGGCAGGAGAATCGTTTGTACCTGGGAGGCAGAGGTTGCAGTGAGCCAAGATCGTGCCACTGAACTCCAGCCTGGGCAACGGAGCGAGGCTCCCATCTCAACAACAACAACAACAACAACAACAATAATTCTTCATTCCTCTTCATAGCAACCACAATGCTACCTTCTGTCTGTATGAATTTGACTACTCTAAGTACCTCATGTAAGTAGAATCATACAGTGTTTGTCTTTTTATGACTGGCTTATTTCACTTAGCATAATATTCTCAAGGTGCATTCATGTTGTAGCACATGTGAGAATTCTTTCCTTTTTTCTTTATTTTTAAGCCTGAATAATATTCTGTTGTCTGTATATACTATATTTTGCTTATCCATTTATCCGTTGATGGACAGTTGGGTTACTTCCATTGTGTATAAGGTCGTTATGAACATGAGTGTACAAATATCTCTTTGAGACTCTGCTTTCAATTATTTTGGGCATATACCCAGAAGTGAAACTACTAGATCATATGGTAATTTTATTTTTAATTTTTTAAGGAACTACCATACTGTTTTCCACAGCAGCTGCATCATTTTACATTCCCACCCACAGTGTACAAGGGTTCCAGTTTATCCACATCTTTGTCAACACTTGCTATTTTCTTTAAAATTTTTATAGTGGCCATCCTAATGGGTGTGAGGTAGTTCAACATAAGTTTATATTTCTCTTAGGTAAATATGTAGGCATGGGATTGCTGGGCTGTATGGTAAGTCTATGTTTAAATTTCTATTAAACTGCTGAACCATTTTCCAAAGTGGATGTACCATTTTACATTCCTCCTAGCAACACTGAGAGTTGTAATTGCTCTGTAGTCTTGTTAGCACTTGATACTGTCCTAGTAGGTATGTGGTAGTATGTCAAGTGTTCAAATCTTTTGCCATTTAAAAATTGGATTGTTTGTCTTATTATTTATTTGATTTATGTGTTTGGATTCAAGCCCTTTATTAAATCTTTTTTCCCCAGTCTGTAGCTTTGTCTTTTCCTTTTCTTTACAGTGATTTTTGAAGAGCAGAAATCTTTGTGCATTTTGTGTCCTATGTAGTCTCTGCTTAGCCAGGGTCACAGAGATTTTCTCCTGTTTCTTCTTTTTTGCAGAAATTTAATAGTTGTAGATTCTGTCTTTAGGTTCACAATCCATTTTGAGTTAATTTTTGTGTATGATGTGAGAGAAGGTTGAGGTTTTAGTTTTTTGTTTTTGTTTTTTTTGTTTTGCATATAGATGTCCAATTTTTCTAGCACCATTTGTTGAAAAAAAAAAAACATTTTCTTGGCTGGGCACGGTGGCTCATGCCTGTAATCCCAGCACTTTGGGAGGCCGAGGAAGGCAGATCATCTGAGGTCAGGAGTTCGAGACTAGCCTGGCCAACGTGGTGAAACCCCGTTTCTAGTAAAAATACAAAAAAATTTAGCCGGGCTTGGTGGCATGCACCTGTAATCCCAGCTACTCAGGAGGCTGAGGCAGGGGAATTGCTTGAACCTGGGAGGCAGAGATTGCAGTGAGCTGAGATCATGCCATTGCACTCCAGCTTGGGCAACAAGAGTGAAACTCTGTCTCAAATAAATAAATAAATAAATAAATAAATAAATAAATAAATAAATCTTTTCTCCATTGAATTAATTACCATGGCACAGTTGTCTCAAATCAATTGACCATCTGTGTGTGAATCTATTTTTGGAGTCTATGTTGTTCAATAAATTTAAAAGGATTTTATTGATTTTCTTAGAGGCAGTTTTTGGTTTAATCAATTTTTATTGATTCTCTGTTTTTTAATTCATCAACTTCTGTTCTGATAGTTACTATTTCCTATCTTCTGTTTACTTTGGATTTTTTTTTTTCTTCTTTTTAATAGTTTGTTAGGGTAGAAACAAAGGCCATTGATTTGAGAGCTTTTGTCTTTTCTAATGGAGTTTAGTGCTGTAGATCTTCCCCAAGGTACTGCTTTATCAGCATCCCACAACTTTTTATCTGCTGTGTTTTCATTTTCAATTACTTAAAAATGCTAATTTTTCTTTTGATTTATTTAGAGTATAGTTCAGAGGTCAGCCAGATATTTGAGTGTACTTTGTACCAGCTTTTTAAGTTTCTCCCACCTGTTCCCCTTCCCTTTCAATTCAATTTTCAGCTGCTCTGGTAGTCTTGAACACCAGTGTCACTCCAGGCCTAATATAATAGCTGCTTGCTGATGGACCTTGCTCTCTGTTGTGAACTAGGGGAATTCCTTCAGGAGAAAAGCCAAATAAATGTAGATATCACCGAGTGTGATTTTCTTCATTCAAGAGCTGTATCTCCTGCAGTTTCTGCCTGCTCTTAGCTGTTTTGCATTGCCTTCAAAGAATTGTTTTTTGAAATTTTGTCTAAGGTTCGTAAGTGTTATTGGCAAAAGGGTTAGTCTGATATAACTTTAACATTATCAGAAATTGGAAGTTTTTCTGCACATTTATATATGCAGTATTTTCCATTTAGTTTAAAATATTTTCTAATTTTTATTGTGATTTCTGATTTTTTTCTCATGGAATATTTAGAAGTGTATTTCTTAATTTTCAAGCACAGGGAGATTTTCTAGTTTCATATCTATCTATCTATCTACCTATCTATCAATCTGTCTATAATTTCCACTTATATTCCACTGCTCTCAGAAATACATTGTATGTTATTATTTTTGAAGTTTTTTGAAACTTTATGTCACAGTATATAATCAAGTTTTATAAATGTTTTGATGTGTTGTTGAAAAAGGACTTTATTCATTTGTTGTAATGTTCTCTATATATCATTTAGATAAAATATGTTAATTGTATTGTTTAACTCTTTTCTATTCTTTCTGATTTTTGCCTTTTCTCTCATTTTCTGCAATAAGAGTTAAACATCTATTATAATTGCAAATTTGTCTATTTCTCCTTTTATTTCTGTGAGTTTTTTTGCTTCACATATAGAAGATGTCATTAGGTAC